GAGTGTAATTAATAGGAACTGATATAACCATTTAAGGAAGAATGACATTAAAGGCTTCGTCTGGGGTGATTGGGACATTCAGTTTCAAGAGATCTGCAACACTTTTATGAAGCCACGCCCCAAAGAGAGCCTTTTGTGGAAGGTTAGCGAGATTGTCAGGATTACTTATATAGAACATCAACTCAGTTTGAGCTGTAGTTTGGGGACCATTGTTCTTCAAACGTTTGACACAAAATATGGTATTAATTAAAGCTATCCTTTCCGATAGAGAGGGGCCAGCTCTTTCCTCGTGTTTACAATGCTGGTAGATTTTAGGCATCCTAGAATGATGCGCATGGCTTCATTTTGTACAACCTCAAGGCTGTTGAGTTGTTTAAAGGGAATAGATACAAGATGGAGAGCATGATAGTCAACTACAGAACGAATGAAGTGAAGATATTAAGTACGAGCATAGGTGATGTTAATTTCATAGCCCTTACCAACAAGGATTCTGAGAGGTTTAATGTGCTGCAATAGTTTGGCCACATTCAACAGTCCTCTGAGTAAATACATCTAGCAAGACTTAGAGCCTGGGCTTGGTCTGTGTCGCAATGCAGATGTCATCAGCATAACATATTACGGCCTCCTTTGGTTGAACTGGAATGTCAGCAATAAGCTTGTGCATCAGTATATTAAAAAGCATAGGTCTTAACATCCTCCTGAGGCGTGACAAGCTCAAATGCTCTCATTCTGGTACATTTGACTGCTGAACAGTACACTGTCATACCTGTTGGACAGATAACGCCCTTATCCATGTCAGGAGGTTATCTTGGATGCCAAAATTAGCTAGTTGCTCAAGTATAATGTCTCTATTAGCTCCATCAAAGGCTGATTTAAGGTCTATGAAGGCTGTTTGTGTCTTATCTTTTGAGTGAACAAGATATTCTGCAAAGCATGTCTGTGTGCTATGCCCGGGCATGAACCCATACAGATTAGGGGAGTTTGTCTTTGACTTGAAACATGAGACGGTTGAGAACAACTCTTTCAAGGACTTTACACATACTGGATGTGAGTGAAATGGGCTTGAAGTTTGGAGCGTTAGCTTTAGGGATTGGTACTATGTTTCCATGAGTCCATGTCTTAGGCAGAATACCAAAGGTTAAAACTAAAAATAAAGGTGAGAGAGGGAAAGGGAAAGACGAGGACCAAGAAGGAGATGGGAAGAGGGAGAAGAGAAGAATGTAAAAAGAGATAGACGAACATGGTGATGGATGTACTTGAAGTGATGTAAGAGGAGAGATTGACGTCAAGGAAGCAATACTAGTGGAGGGGGTGACGTCCAGGGGAAGGGTCGTGTGGGCAGCGACAGGAGGGAACAGCTGGCTGGGTGTATACTACAGCGGGGTATATACCACGGCGGGGTGTATACCACTATTGGTGTATACCACAGCGGGGTGTATACCACTGTGGGTGTATACCACTGTGGGTGTATACCACAGCAGGTGTATACTACAGTGGGGTGTATACCACTGTGGGTGTATACCACTGTGGGTGTATACCACTGTGGGTGTATACCACAGTGGGGTGTATACCGGCAGGGTATATACCACAGCGGGGTGTATACAGTGGGGTGTATACTACAGCGGTGTGTATACCACTGTGGGTGTATACCACAGTGGGGTGTATACCCCAGCGGGGTAGATACACAGCGGGGTGTAAGCGATACGTCAAAACCTAACAATTTGTTATATAAATTGTCTGCATAAAACACTCAAACATTTTTTTTAGTTATTAAAAACTTAAAACTATAATGCGTGACTTAGAGCTAAAGCTTTAATGTTTAATTAAACTTTACGAGTATATAAATGTGGGAGAAAAATAGTGTGTTGGTTTGTTGATGTGACGGATATTAGAAACAGTGAATACAAGTTCCAGGGTGATTAGGGTGAGGAAGGGAGAGTAGGGTGAGGAAGGAGAGTAGGGTTGAAAGGGATAGAGTAGGGTGGGAGTGAGGAAGGAGAGTATGGGTGAAGGTAGGGTAGTGTGAGGAAGGAGAGTAGGGTAGGATTGAGGAGAGAGTAGGGTTGAGGAAGGAGAGTAGGGTGAAGGAGGAGAGTAGGGTGAAGGAGGAAGTGGGGTAGGGTGAGGAAGGAGAGTAGGGGTGAAGGAGAGAGGGTAAGGTGTGAGGAAGGGAGAGTAGGGGTAGGGGTGGGGAAGGGAGAGTAGGGTGAGGAAGGGAGAGTAGGGGTGGAGGAGGGAGAGGTGAATTGAAGGAGGAGAGTGGGGAGTAGGGTGAGGAGAGGAGAGTAGGGTGGGGAGGGGAGTAGGGGTGAAGGGGTAGAGTAGGGTAGGGTGAGGAAGGGAGAGTAGGGTGAAGGAGGGAGGGTAGGGAAGGGTGAGGATGGGAGGGTAGGGTAGGGAGAGGAAGGGAGGTGGTCAGTGTGTGTTTGTAATAATTATAAATAATAATAAACTGTTCATTAATAGAGTTGCAGCCGGTGACTGAAAATATACAGACTTAAATTTGATTTAGACATAATGATATAATATGCGTTGAATACATTTACAGGGCTGTGCAGTACATAAATCAGGAGTTTTTTATTATTTTAACAATAGATGGGATGGTGCTGTTCTTATATCTATCGGTGCGGGCTCTTATGGGCTGTATTTTGTTGTAGTGGCGGACTGTGCGAGGTAGATGGGGGGCTGCCGGTGGCAGGAGGTGGTGATGACGAGGGTGGTGCATTAGTTGGCTGCCAAACCTTTCCAGTGCTTGGTGGTGGAGGTCACCGAAGGATGGCATTTCCAGGGTGGAGAGAGAGTTGATGTAGCTGGAGTATTCTGCACCGAGCATGATTCTGCAAGCCCTTTTCTGTACCTTCTCTAGCCGACGTTGTTGGGTGGAGTTGAGAGAAGACGACCAGGCTGTGTGTGTGTGTGTGTGTGTGTTTGTGTGTGTGTGTGTGCGCGCGTGTGTGCGTGTGCGCGCGCGCGTGTGTGTGTGTGTGCGCGCGCGTGTGTGTGTGTGTGCGCGTGTGTGTGTGTGCGCGTGTGTGTGCGCGTGTGTGTGTGTGTGCGTGCGTACTTGCATTATACAATATATACAGTAAATATATGTCTGTCTGGTTATCTGTTTGTCTTATTGTGTCTCTGTCTGTATTTCTGTCTGTGTCTGTCTGTTTCTTAGTGTATGTCTGTATTTTAGTCTTTGTATTGTGTGTCTGTCTATCTGTCTAGTTCTGTGTGTCTGTCCGTCTGTCTATGCACTACTGAACCCTCACCACTCGAGCTTCCTGTCAACCATAACCTAATTCAACATCCATAACCTTTACTCTGGGTGTGGGGAGGAGAGTGGGACGAGGAGAGGGGTGGGAAGGGAGGAGAGTGGGACGAGGAAAGAGGGGTGGGAAGGGAGGAGAGTGGGACGAGGAAAGAGGGGTAGGAAGAGAGGAGAGTGGGACGAGGAAAGAGGGGTAGGAAGAGAGGAGAGTGGGAGAGGAAAAGAATGTGGTAATGGAAGAAAGTAGAGAGTGGGAGAGGGAAGAGGAAAGAGAGAGGGGTGGGAAGAGAGGAGAGTGGAAAGTGGGATGAGGAGCAGAGAGAGAGAGAGAGAGAGAGAGAAATGACACACACACACAGATAAATGGCCTCTCTAGTAACACTGACACTCCCATAGACGATTCCATTACTATGTATGTATGTATTTTTGTATGTATGTACAGTATGTATGTATGTATGTATGTATGTATGTACGGACTTTGTAACAGTGCCATGAGTAGTGAAAGTCGCCCAAAAAAGTCTAACTATTTCCCTGGCGTGAGCCAATCACAGTGACCTGTGAGTGTGAATGCCTTAGGCCTGAACCAATAAGGAGGCCTGTGAGATGTGACGTCATGAACATGTGGCATTCTGTTGGTCGCCTTTGTTTTAGGACAGAGTCTGGTTAGAATTGGTTAAGTGTAGAGGTGCGTGTTGTCGGCAGGTCAGCATAGTGATATATACGAGTATATCTAAGTAAGTATACCTGTAAGTGCCTTCTGGGCTTTTAAAGGTTAATCAGACTCTTCACGTTAAACTCGAACGTTATAATTCGGTCAAACCTGTTGAATACAATTCATTTTAGTATTTCAAATACATCATACATAGGCAATCATACATAAATGTTTAATCAATATATATTTACATAATAATCATAGCTATGTAATTAGTCTAATCTTAACACTTACAATGAGTACTTAATTTGCCATATTTTTATGTTGTCACAATGATAAACGATGCAATGGACACAGTCTACCTGTGTACACAATAAATACAAGTTAAACTTACGTGTTGAAAGTCTCAGGAGAAACAGGTTAGGTGTTGGCTCTATGATGGGGATAGCTACAGTGGCGGACTGGCTGTGCCCTGCCGGCGTCATATGTCCAGCCCTGGCTGGCCAAACTTGCTGCGTCAGGCGTGTTATACGCAAACAAGCTCCCCTTACACCACCACCCAACACCTCAACCTACTCTGGGTCTCTCCATCTCCACCATCTCAATACTCTGTCTACTGTATACTCATTACTGATTGCGGTAACAATACCCTGAAGGTTTTATCCATTTCACGAAATGTATTGTGATTCATGTGGCCCCTGTTGAGAACTGTTGAGAAGTGTTATAAGTTCCTCCCTCTCGGTGTTGAGTAAAACATTCGTCATACTTGTCTTTGGTGTTATACAGTGAGTCCTGAGAAGTAACCCACCTATCACCTGTTTCCCCTAGTGTCTCAGTTATCACATGTTATTCCTGTTCCCCATTTATCATCGTCCCCGTCCATTCTCCCCTCTCCGTCTCCTTGGTGTGAAACCGGCTTTAACCACAAACTAGCCACGAGTATACAGAAAGAAAAAAATAGAGTAATAACATCTAAGAAGAAATAAATAAAATAAAAGGTAAAATAAAAACATTACAACCTAACCTAACTCTCTTCTTCTCCTCTCTCTCATGTCTGTATAATAACAACACCTCCATGCACACACACAGGTACAGGTACAGTGGTGGTGCGGCTGGCAGACGTGAACGACAACTCTCCTCGGCTGACTCGTGACCCTAGCAGGTGGAGGTGGACGAAACATGGGGTGACGGAGCTCCTACCAACCACACTCTCCTCCAGATCTCTACCACCGACCACGATACCTCCAACTACTTCTTCTACCGGGTTAGTATTTGCAGGTGTGTAGCCTGTCAGAGGTGGTGTTTACAGGTTTACTGTCAGAGGTGGTGTTTACAGGTGTGCAGACTGTCATATGTGGTGTTTACAGGTGTGTAAACTGTCAGAGGTGGTCTTTTCAAGCTTGTATGTGTCAACGCCGATGTTTGCAGGTGTGTAAATAATGTTAAATGCAATATCATTAGGCTAGAGACAGAAGTGAGCATTACCAATAACAAGAGGAGTGTGAGGTCGAAATCAGATGATAAACTAACCCACCTGTGTTGTGTGTTTACAGGTGGTGGAGGCCAGCGGGTTAGGATGGGAACATTTTGGGATGCGGACTGAGGGGGCCGTTGGTCACCTCTACGCCCTCAAGACACTCGACTCAGGATTCCGTGCAGCGCCGAGGCTTCCGCTTCATGGTGCAGGTTACGGACAGGGTGAGTTAGAGTGCTTCACGGACACTATGCTTCCAGTACTCACCCTATAGCACTCACCCTACAGTACTCACCCTCACGGCACTCACCCTTTAGTACTCGTCCTCCGAGTCACACCGCCCTTGTAATCCTCAGGACAAAGCTCTCTTATGCGGGATACACTCACTTCCAAAGAGGGAAGGGGAGGGGGAAGGAAGGAAGGATGGTGGGTTGAGGAGGTAGGGAAGGTTGGAAGGAAGGGGGAGAGGAGGGGAAGCTCGGGAAGAGGTGATAGTATGTAATGGATGAGGTATTGAGGAAGGGAGAGAGGGAGGAAGGGAGGAGAGGGTAGGAGGATTTGGGGACTCTCTCTCTTTTTCTCCCCAAAGGTTCCACACTGCTTGTCAAATTCCCCATCGTAAACGTATTTTAAATGTGTAGGAGAGACAGACATCCACACAGGCAGGTCTCTTAAACACTGGCCTCTGCAAGATTCAGTATCATTCCCAGGTGAGCAAAGACCTTATGTAATCACCTCTGGAGTTTAACAAAAAAAAACGTTGCCTTATAAATTATTTTCGGTGTAAATATTTTGTAGTAAAACACAGTTAATATTTGGCTTATGTATAATGAGTTTTTGTTGTCATAATGAGTTGTCAAATTATCTTGTAGGAATATTGTGTTTTTTACTTAAATAACAATTACAGGTATTTCTTTGTTAATTCGCGTTTGTTTCTTTTACTTAATATTTGTAACTTTTATTTAACTTAAGGTCGGGATATTATTTAATGTGAATAATTAATACCTGGTAATGGTGGACTTTACTACAGTATGTAACACTGATGGTGTACTGTACTACAATATGTAACATTAGATGTGTACTGTACTACAGTATGCAACACTGGAGGTGTACTGTACTACAGTATGTAACACTAGAGGTGTACTGTACTACACTGGAGGTGTACTGGTGCAGGTAAGCTTCACTGCCGTCTAAAATATTAATAACGGGAAGTTAATAATAATCTATTTATTTTGGCAAATGACTGGCCCAAATAATGGCTGTTGTTTGATCTCTGTAACACCCGGAGTTAATATTAGACTAATTGAAACATGACAGCTGTGCTGTGACCCGTAGCTTCATAATGAATGAGTCTGTGCGTGCTGTGACGGCCCAGTGGATACCCCTCTCAACTCTGGTCCGATGGGTCACTGGTTCGCACAGGTGCAGGTCCACCCACCTGTAAATGGGTGCCAGACCTCACAGTTCAACAAGTGAAGGTGGTTGAGGGTTACTGCCGGTCACACAGCCTCTCTGTGTGTCACTAAAGGGGTTATAGGGGCCATTGTTATAGCGTAGTACAGTTATAGTTTAATATTGTAGTATAGCTGTTGGAAGGTGTGGGGAGGGAGTTTGTGGGGAGGATATGGGTAGAGGAGGAGTGTGTGGGAGTGAAGGTGTGTGGGAGGTGGAGGTGTGGGAGAGGTGGGTGTGTGGGGAGAGGGGAGGTGTGTGGGAGGGTGGGTGTGTGTGGGGAGAGGAGGTGTGTGGGAGGGTGGGTGTGTGGGAGGTGGGTGTGTGGGGAGAGGTGGAGTGTGTGGGGAGGTGGGTGTGTGGGGAGAAAGAGGAGTGTGGGGAGAGGTGGGTGTGTGGGGAGAGGGTGGGTGTGTGGGGAAGAGGGTGTGTGTGGGGAGAGGGGTGTGTGTGGGAGAAAGAGGGTGTGGGGGAGAAGGGGTGTGTGGGGAGGGTGGAGTGTGGGAGAGAAGAGGTGTGTGGGAGAGAAGTGTGTGGGGAGAAGGGAGTGTGTGGGGAGGGTGGAGTGTGTGGGGAGAGGAGTGTGGGAGGTGGGGTGTGTGGAGGGGTGGGTGGTGAGAGAGGGGTGTGGGAGAAAGGTGGGAGGGTGGTGGGGAAAGGGTGTGTGGGGAGGGTGGAATGTGTGGGGAGGGTGGGTGTGTGGGAGAGGGTGGGTGTGTGGAGAGGGTGTGGAGAGGTGGGTGTGTGGGGAGAGGTGGGTGTGTGTGGGGGAGAAAGAGTATGGGAGGGTGGAGTGTGTGGGGAGGGAGGTGGGTGTGGGGAGGGTGGGTGTGGGAGAAGGAGTTATGTGGGAGAGGTGGAGTGTGTGAGGAGGTGGGTGTGTGGGAGAGGTGGGGTGTGGGAGGGTGGAGTTGTGGGAGAGGTGGGAGAGGTGGGTGTGGTGGGGAGAAGAGGGTGTGTGGGAGGTATGTGTGTATGTGTGTATGTGTATGTATGTATGTATGTGTAAGGGGAGAAAGTGGGTATACAGTTCTAGCAGGAAACTCTGTAGGCTAAGGTGGCCGCTTAACACAAGTGGCCTCAGTGTTATACATGCTACAAAGGTCAGGTTGGCTCCCTGTGTGACGCTATCAAAGGTGGAGCGTCACACCGTTTACTACTACTGTGTATGTCTGTCTGTCTGTCTGTCTGTCTGTCTGTCTGTCCAATAGGTACCAAAACAAGGTGGCTGTTCATGGCTAAGTAAAGTTCTTTGTGACTCTAGTGGTACTGAGTGTGTGTGGGAGGGAGGTATTGAATAGTGATTTTGTTAGATGGACAGGAGGTGGTGAGAGGCAAGAGGTGTAGTGAGAAGGGAGGTAGTGGAGAAGGGCAGGAGGTAGGAGAGGGCAAGAGGTGTAGTGAGAGGGGCAGGTGTAGTGAGAGGGCAGGAGGTGTAGTAAGAAGGGCAGGAGGTGTAGTGGAGAAGGGCAGGAGGGGGTAGGGGAGGGGCAGGAGGTGGGGAGAGGGGCAGGAGGTGTAGTGAGAAGGGCAGGAGGTGTAGTGAGAAGGGCAGGAGGTGTAGAGAGGGGCAGGAGGTGTAGTGGAGAAGGGGCAGGAGGTGTAGGAGAAGGGCAGGTGTAGTGGGAGAGGGGCAGGAGGTGTAGTGAGAGGGGCAGAGGTGGGAGGGAGAAGGCAGGAGGTGTAGGAGAAGGGCAGGAGGTGTGTGAGAGGGCAGGAGGTGTAGTGAGAGGGGCAGGAGGTGTAGTGAGAGGGGCAGGAGGTGTGATGAGAAGGGCAGGAGGTGTGAGTGAGAAGGCAGGAGGTGTAGTGAGAGGGGCAGGAGGTGTAGTGGAGAAGGCAGGAGGTGTAGTGAGAAGGCAGGAGGTGTAGTGAGAGGGCAGGAGGTGTAGTGAGAAGGGCAGGAGGTGTAGGAGAGGGCAGGAGGTGAAGTGAGAGGTGCAGGAGGTGTGGTGAGAGGGGCAGGAGGTGTAGTGAGAAGGGGCAGGAGGTGTAGTGAGAAGGGCAGGAGGTGTAGTGAGAAGGGGCAAGGAATAAACACCTATCAAATTAACCTTCCTTATGCCTCAACTCCCCCACAGGGTCGCGGAGGGTGGAGTGATGCACGACACACAGACACGGCCTGGGTGGAGGTTAAACTACGTGACGTCAACGACAACCCTCCACAGTTCAGCCGTCCACACGACCACGTCACAGTGAGGGAGGACACGGCCCCCGGCACCCTCCTCACCTCCCTCCCCGCCACCGACCCTGATATGGTGAGTCAGTCGAACCTAACCTAACCTATATTTCCCGTTTACATTTATTATAAAAACTGTTGTATCTTTTTCCGTCTCTACCCCTCAGCACTGTTAAGCTTTCCTGTTCCTAAGTTTATTATTAATGACAACTTAATGCCTCAAAAAAGTCATGAAATTAAACTTTTTTTTAACTTAAGTGAAAAAACAGAAACTCTCTCAGGAATGGTTTAACGCTGTTTTTGGCTGATGACGTCACAAGAGGTGGTGTTATTGACGTACGCCTAAACAAAGAGTTTAAAATGCTGACTTGTTGGTGTTAGTTTGACTCGACAGATTCATTCTTGTCCTTAATGGCAGATGGAGGGAAGGGCTTTGACCACTGTTGTTATAGTCTGTACCATAATGTTGTTTTTTGTGTAATGTTTGACTTTCGTGTCAATAGTTAACTACAGAGAATGAAAACACAGACTGATACATTCTTTGGCTGTGAACTGTTTACCGGGAGTGGGTGAGTGACTTCCACAAGATCTGTTCCTCCCTACAACTCCTTATGTGTCTCCCTGTTGATCGTTCGTGACAACAGTGGCTTAAATTCATGCAGTAAAACGTCACCTTTTTCTTGTTTATTGTTATTGTTCTCTTCAACCTTTCAACACCCACCACCCACCGTTTCCCATCTGCCTCGTTGCTCCAACTTGAAAGTATTGCTACACGTCGATGTCCGCCTATCACCCATCATCTCTCGGTAAACTTTTCACACATTCAACTTCTCGTAAACTATTGGCTCAGTTTTGTGGAAAATTCTACAAAACTTTTCCTTACAAATTTATTTTACAAACTACAGTCACTTTGTTAGTATAAGCGACCCAAGATGGCCGCCCGTACCCTCAAGGGGATAGGAAGTAAAACTCCTTTTTTTTACCCTAAATTTCTGGCTCATTGTTGTTGCTACTCTGTAAGAAGGTTCACTAGTTGGTCTACTTTAAGTCTTGTGTTTGACGTCAGCATCAGCAGTACCAAGAGAGTGCTAAAGCTTTGTTAATGGTTCTTATTACACTTTGTTGGCGTCATGCTCGAAGGCCCCAGTAAGGAGTATTTTCCACTTTTTTTTTTGAGAGAGAGAGAGAGAGAGACTTTACCATGAAATTATGTAACTGTAGTTTTGCATCAAAGTAATATAGAATACATAAACTATCACTGAAATTAATGAGGATCTTTCAAGTAATTACCAGATGTCACAGAACTAGTGTTAATTTTACGGTCTACACAGTATTACCAGATATTAGCATATATCTAGTATCAGTCTTAGGATTTACTATAGCAGTGTTACCAGATGCCATAACCAGTGTTAATTTGAGGATCTAGTTGCAGTGTTACCAGATGTTTAAATTGTATGGTAATAAACCCAACATCACTACTTAAGGGTAGGTGCCACCATAACCCTGAGTATAAACACCAACAATATTTGCGTCAACTGTTTCTAAATTGGCAATAATTGTATTACATGAACACAGTAAATAATACTTTTTGTGTTGGTCGTAATTTTAAATAAAAGTTACAGAAACAAAAACAAAACATCACGAACTAAAATTTGACAGAAAAATTACATTAGCAGAGTCAACACACACACACACACGCACACATACACATATATATACACACACACATACACATATATATACACACACACATACACATATATATACACACACACACATACACACACGCACAGACACACCCTTGGGGGCAGGAGATTGTGCGTGTGGGCGTGAAAACAATATATCTAATGAAAATACAGTGAGGCAGCAGAAGGGGCCTATTAATCTCTGTCTTTGTTGTGTCTATTGTGATGTTGGTGTGGCTGGAATGTAATAGATATTTAGTTCTATACATAATGTTGAATTACCACCCGTCCATTGGTGATTACAGGCTGGCAATTGGGTTATTGAGTACAATTAGTTCAACTACCATTATGTGAGAGAAAATCCCTATAAGGATTAATATAATAATATTCTATATGTATATATATATATATATATATCTATATATATTTCATTAGCCCAATAAAGCACGCGGACTTCTACATATAATCAACACCTCACCCCGCCAGGATTCGGAACCCACAATCTTATAATTGTGACCGGGGAACGCTACCTCTGGGCCACCAGAACACTAAAGCAGTCCTAGACTCTGTTATAGTTCACGCAGCATGTTCAACGAGCTTATGGCGCCGTGAACTCTAATGGGGACCACCCGTGCGCTTAGGTGATCAGAGCAACGTTTTACCAAATCCGGCTTCGAAACACGAGGATCCATATATATTTCATTAGCTCAATAAAGCACGCGGACTCTTACATATAATCAACACCTCACCCCGCCAGAATTCAGACCCACGATCTTATAATTGTAACCAGGGAACGCTACCTCTGGGCCACCAGGACACTAAAAGCAGTCCTAGACTCTGTTATATTTCACACAAAGCCTCCTGCTGGGGAAGGCTCTGAGCCTCCTGCTCTGTGTGTGTGTGTTATTTTTTTTACCTGTACAGTGGCTAGTTTATTGTGCACCCCATTCTTATCCTGCGATCGGTAGTGCAAAGGGATGACAGAGTTGAGGCCACAAAGGGTGTGTATAACAGTCCCCAGTGGTCAGGATATTATGACATTGTAAGTTTAGTTTTATACAAGGTAATTGACTTATATAAGTACAAGAAAGTGGATACAATCTTAATATGTCGGCCATCTTGCCATTAGAGATAAAGTGTTGTGCCATTTCACACACAGTGTGCTTGGACCTGTCCCTAAAAGGGACAACTTGAGTTAAGGGTGTCAAAGGCAAGTAGTGAGGATAAGAAGTCAGAGATGACAATACTGTCAGTGACAGTGGTTTCAACAAACTTTGTGGCTGTGAGTATGACAACTAATACTGTTTAGAGGGATGCCCAGTTGTTAATTCACAACGACCGCATTTCTAACCCTCTCACAGGCAGTGTTAAATATTGATAACCTGTGTTGCTGTGTGATGTATTCATCAGTCTGTAAGTTATTTATGTGTTAAAGAGCTCTCACATTGGGATGAGACAAGGACTGTGTGTCGTTTGGCGGTATTTACTGTACGTTTTGTGATATCGAAGGGAACTGTCCTCCATGGTGGTAGGAAGCGCTGTTGTGTCTCAACTTTGTACAGCTGGTCAAGTCCAAACATCTTCGTTTGTGGAGCACCTTAGTTTTCTCAGTGGAGATAATACAAGAAGTTCTCACAAGCTGTGTGTAGTACAGTCAGCTTCCTTGGTGGGGCACACTGGGGCTCCTGGCTCCAGTGTTGAGACTTCACAACACCTCCGGGTGGGAGGCTGACAGAGGGCTACCTTTAGAGTCTGATAGGCACCCGGGACGTCAATGGTTTTAGGTGGGTCCCCCGAGCCAATCCAATCAGCAATGACTGCGTTCTTGTCAGTGAGTCGCTTTGTCCATGTGTTGTCATTCTTGGCTCTGATAGAACCCTGTGATTAAGATTGGTGTCTTGTTCGATGGCTGGGATGGTTGTTCCGGGGTTAGTCCCTCTATTGTATGATTACTGGGTCGTTTTTCAGCAGAATACGATCCAGTGTAATAACTCTTGAACAGAAAGCCAACGTCTGGGTGTTTCTTTCCTCCTCCTTGGCAGCTGTTGTTGATCTCGAAAGGTTCTCCGCCTTTGCTGCCCCTCGTGCCTCTGGTCCAGAAGCTAAAGGCGTAAGCGTAAGCCAAACAAAAGACCTCCAGGATATAAGCACCTGCGTCTTAAAGAGTTTATAGATCAGTATTCGGGGCTTTATCTTGGGTCTTCCATAATACCTCTCTCCTCTCCATTCTTCATGTGGCAGGGGGTGAGGTGGCCTTGCACATTAATATTAATTATTAATGATGATGAACTTGTCTCCCATACCCAGAGTAGAGACAACAACGTGTGAACTATAGGGTTCTGGGGGCTGGGGCACCACTACTGTAGATGGTGTTGGGGCGTGAGGTTGTGGCGCGCCTTAGACCGTGAGGGCGGTGGTGGAGAGGTGGGCGTGGCAGGTGGTGGCTGTAGATGAGGGCCACCCTTCCCTCTCCTCCACGGCCACCCTCACCATCACTATCGTCGACGTTAATGACTGTCCCCCACGGCTCCTCCCTCCCACCCTCCTCCACGTGACTGAGGGAACACCTGCCTCCCTCTTAGGTCTCCTCACAGCTACTGACGACGACGTGTGGGCCCTGGGACATGGTCCGCCCTTCATCTCTTCCCTGGCGCCCTCCAACCCCGCCCACGTTCTCAACACCCTCAGCGTTAATTACCTACCAAGTAAGTGCTACCGCGCCACCTCCCTCCTCTGATGAGTACCAGCCACGCCCATTCCTAACATCAAGTAAGTGCCTCCCTAACATCAAGTAAGCCAACCACGCCCACCTCCCTAACATCAAGTAGGTGCTAACCACGTTCCCTAACATCAAGTAAGTACTAACCGCCCACCTCCCTAACATCAAGTAAGTACCAACCATACCTCCCTAACATCAGGTCAGTACTAACCCATCCTCCTAACATCAAGTGAAAGTACTAACCACCTCTAACATCAAGTAGTACCAACCACGCACCTCCCTAACATCAAGTCAGTACTAACCACGGCCCACCTCTATCAGTAAGTGCTAACACAGCTACCTCCGTAACATCAAGTGAGTACTAACCGCCCACCTCCCTAACATCAAGTAAGTACCAACCAGCACCTCCCTAACATCAAGTAAGTACTAACCACGTACCTCTAACATCAAGTAAGTACTAACCGCCCACCTCCCTAACATCAAGTACTAACCAGGCCCACCTCCCTAACATCAAGTCACCAAGTAGGTACATTAACACATTACGAATAGACTTAAAATATTATGGTATATCGGGTAATACTAACCTTTAAGACTTTGGTTTGAACCCAAGTAACAGAGGGAGGCAGGGAGGGGGTGACAGAGTTATCCACAGTCTTGTTTATCTAATGTATACGTCATAGTACACCTTGTGGGATTGACTTTATAGCCCTGTGTTTACATCGTTGTAAGACTGTTAATATCGAACCTGAGAAACCACTTGTTATTATCTTCAGTCATCTTGGGTCATTGAGAAACTTGGTAGAGATGTTCTGAGTGTAGCAGCTGTTAGGGGTGTTGTGTGATGCATATCTGATGAAATTAAGTTTACAGGTCGGATCTGTGTAGTGACAAACAGCATTGTTTGTGGTTTTGGCTAGGGGTAAGACATCCTTTCGTGTGTATCCGAAACACTAAAACTTTAGAAGAAAACAGTCACCGAAAACTGAATGAAACTGGGTACGAAAAAAAAGAGAGTATTTATATTATAAGTGTAGGCAGTGACGAGGTGAAAAAGGTGATGATGACACTGTGTTTTAAATCTTTCGGCTCCAGGACGTTTCGTTAAGCTGAGTAAAATTCCAAAATGTAACAATCAGTGGGAAATGGTTAGGTTAGATGAAGTGTACATATTCTGGGTCTCCGGTAGGGTTAGGTGTGCACATTCTAGGTCTCCGGTAGGGTTAGGTGTGCACATTCTAGGTCTCAGGTAAGGTTAGATGTACACATTCTGGTAAAGGTTTTTGTAAAATGTGTATATAATAATAATAATAATAATAATAATAATAATAATAATAATAATAATAATAATAATAATAATAATAATAATATGTATAATATTAATAATAAATCCGTCAAATTTAAGTTCTCATCTCTGGCTACAACTTAACGTTCGTGGGTGGCTTCTGAATGTCATCACACTCCATTCATATGATAAATCTTTCCCTGTGAACTCATCATCTGTTTTGAAATTAAAGTCTTCCTGATACCCCTTAAATACTGAACTCTTACTCTTAAACCATAAATCACACTAGTTAAACCTCTCACTCTTAAGCCATAATCACACTAGTTAAACCTCACTCCCTAAACCATTCATTGTCTAGTTAAACCTCTCACTCTTAAACCATAAATCACACTAGTTAAACCTCTCACTCTTAAGCCATAATCACACTAGTTAAACCTCACTCTTAAACCATAAATCACACTAGTTAAGCCTCTCACTCTTAAACCATTGTTATACTAGTTAAACCTCTCACCCTTAAACCATAAATCACACTAGTTAAGCCTCTCACTCTTAAACCATTAATCATACTAGTTAACCTCTCACTCTCAAACCATTAATCACACTAGTTAAACCTCTCACTCTTAAACCATTGTTATACTAGTTAAACCTCTCACTCTTAAACCATTAATCACACTAGTTAAACCTCTCACTCTTAAACCATTGTTATAATTAAACCTCTCTCCACAAATAATTATATTACTAGTTAAACCTCTCACTCTTACTAGTTAAACCTCTCACTCTTAAACCATTGATTATACTAGTTAAATCTCACTCCCATAAATCACATGTTAAACCTCTCACTCTTAAACCATTGTTATACTAGTTAAACCTCTCACCTTAAACATAAATCACACTAGTTAAGTTCACTCTTAAACCATTAATCATACTAGTTAACCTCTCACTCATAAACCATTAATCACACTAGTTAAACCTCTCACTCTTAAACCATTGTTATACTAGTTAAACCTCTCACTCTTAAACCATTAATCACACTAGTTAAACCTCTCACTCTTAAACCATTGTTATACTAGTTAAACCTCTCACTCTTAAACCATTAATAATACTAGTTAAACCTCTCACTCTTACTAGTTAAACCTCTCACTCTTAAACCATTGTTATACTAGTTAAACCTCTCACTCTTAAACCATAAATCACACTAGTTAAACCTCTCACTCTTAAACCATTGTACTGTTAAACCTCTCACTCTTAAACCATTAATATTACTAGTTAAACCTCTCCTCTTTATTGTAACCTCTCACTCTTAAACCATTAATCACACTAGTTAAACCTCTCACTCTTAAACCATTGTTATACTAGTTAAACCTCTTACTCTTAAACCATAATCACACACTAGTTAAACCTCTCACTCTTAAACCATTGTTATACTAGTTAAACCTCTCACTCTTAAACCATAAATCACACTAGTTAGGTTAGGTTAAGTGATGTGATATTAGTGGATGAAACCTGATCTGTTGTTACGAATATTATTGGCTAAATTGACGAAGGTTTCCAGTGTGTCGGGACAAAATAAGAACATGTCAGGGGAATATTGGTGTGTTGGGGAGAAATAAAATGTATCGGGACGAATCCACCACATGTGTCAGAGTCAGCATGTTACAGCACTTTAGGGAAAACTCTGGTTAGTGACTGTCAGTGTCCAGTTAGTCTAAAATTGTAGAGAAAAAGTATATTTTTGTCGGTTTACAAAAAATATTTTTTTTTTTGGTTTGTGGATGTGATAAATTAGGACACCCTCTACACCTCCTACACCTCTTCTCCTCACCTCTACACCTACTCCCTACACCTCTACCTACTCCTTCCACCCTCTACACCTCTCCTCACCCTCTACTACTCCCTACCTTCCACCTACTCCTACCCTCTATACCTACTCCTACCCCTCTACACCTACTCCCTCTCACCCTACTCCTACACCTCTACCACCTACCCCCCTCTACACCTACTCCCTCTACACCTACTCCCTACACCCTCTTACCCTACTCCTCTCTCTCCCCTCCCCTACCCTCCCCTTCACCTTCTACACCTACTCCCCCCTCTACCTCTCCTACCCCTCTACACCTCTCCTCTACCTCTCCCTACCTACTCCCCACCCTCTACCTACTCTACCCTCTCCCCTACCCTCCTACCCCCTCTACACCTCTCCCCACCCCTCCCCCTCCTACACCCTCTACTACTCCTACACCTCTATCTCTCCTACCTTCTACACCTACTCCTACACCTCTATACCTCACCACCCTCTACCTACTCCCTCCCTCTCCTACCTCTTTTACTCCTACTCTCTACACCTACTCCTACACCTCTCTCCCTACTCTACCTCTCCCTCCCCACCTCTACACCTACTCCCTACCTCTCATACCTACTCCCACACCCTCTCCCCTACCCCTACACCTCTACCTCTCCCCACCTCTACACCTACTACCTACTCCCACCCCCCTCTACTCTACCTACTCCCACCCTCTACCTCCTACCCCCTCCCATCTCTCTCCCCTACCACCCTACTCCCTACCCTCTATCCCCTACTCTACCCTCTACCTCCCTCTACCTCCTACACCCTCTACACCTACCCTACTCCTCTACACCTCTCCCCCCTCCCTACTCCCCCACCTACTCCTACACCCTCTCACCTACTCCTACCCCTCTACCTACTCACCCTCCCTCTCCTACCCTCTACACCTGCCCTCTACCTACTCTACACCTCTGCCCTACTCTACACCTCTTACCTACTCCCACCCTCTCTCACCACCTCTACCTCACCCCACCCTCTACACCTCCTCCACCTCTCTCCCCCCCTCTACACCTACTCCTACACCCTCTACCTGCTCCACCTCTACCTACTCCTACCCTCTACCTCTCCCTACCCTCTACCTCTCCCCTCTACCTACTCCCTACCTCTCACCCTACTCCTACACCTCCCCTACTCCTACACCCCACCTCCCTACACCCTCCCTCCCACCCCTCCTACTCTTACCCCTCTCCCCTACTCCCCACCTCTACCTGTCCACCCCTCTACCTACTCTCCCCCTCTACAAGATTTTTGTATCTAACTCCTGCAGGGACAATAAAAGCGGTGTATTGGCTGGTCTTTCAACTTTTATTAAAACTTGTAATATTGAAATCTTATTAACATCTATTATTATCTTCGGGAGTGTGACAGGACGTTACTGTACCGTCAGGAGGACCACAGTAGGAGCCCTGGTGGCCGTGAGCTGCTCGGATCTTAAGTATTGTCGACCGTGTGATAAGATTTTAGATAACTTTATTTTACAGAGCAGAGTGTGGTGCACCTCAGCTTTTAGCGGAACACATCGCAGGTATAACAGCGTCATTAACCTGACTGAGGGTTCCTGATGGTTTTACTGACAAGATTACCTGGTCTCCTCCAGTACCTGTGTGACATGCTGCCAGGAGGGTCACACTGTATGGCACGGTACACTGAGGTCGTAGAGGTGCAGTAGTAGTGTTGAGGTGAAATAAACTGATGACTAAAATGTAATGTTTATTGACAGGTATGGATAGCAGGCGTGGCGGAGCAGAGATGTGGACTTTGGGGCCATTGGACAGGGAGAAACACCGTCAACTAGTGGCCGAGGTGGTGGTGGAAGATGCTGGAGGTCTGGCCGCCACCCACCCGGTCACTATTATCATCGATGACGTTAATGACAACCCCATGAAGCCCGCTGCTAAGACCGTCTACCTGTGGAAGACTCAGGTGAGCCAATGAGTGTGAGTTCTTAAGTCGGAGAGTGGCCTGGGTAAAGTGCCTTTGTATCTCTTGATTGACACACGACAGAACACGAACTGGAGTGAAATGGAAGTTGGGATAAAGATGAATAGTACTCAGGACATGTTAGTTTGTCAGGTGTGTGGGACATGATAGTTTGTCAGGTATTTGGGGCAGGTTAGTTTGTCAGGTGTGTGGGACATGATAGTTTGTCAGGTGTGTGGGACATGTTAGTTTGTCAGGTATTTGGGGCAGGTTAGTTTGACAGGTGTGTGGGACATGATAGTTTGACAGGTGTGTGGGGCAGGTTAGTTTGTCAGGTGTGTGGGACATGTTAGTTTGTCAGGTATTTGGGGCAGGTTAGTTTGACAGGTGTGTGGGACAGGCTAGTTTGTCAGGTGTTTGGTACAGGTTAGTGTGTCAGCTTAAAGAGCTTCAGAGATAATGAGACTTCTTAAAGACCTTGAGAGATAATGAGACTTCTTTAAAGACCTTGAGAGATAATGAGACTTCTTAAAGACCTTGAGAGATAATGAGACATCTTTAAAGACCTTGAGAGATAACCTGCTTAAGATCTCTCAATATACCGGTTCCCTCAGGGTGGCGGGGCTGACGCTGCCCTTGGTAGGGTGTACGTGGAAGACCCAGATGATTGGGACCTTCAAGACAAAACCTTCTCGTGGTTAGGTCCTCCTCAACCTCTCTTCACCCTCCAGACCAACACAGGGGACATCTTCGCCTCCACGCAGCTCAGAGAAGGAAGGTGAGGTGATTGCTGGGAGGGGAAATTGATTGTATTTTCATTTTAATGTTATTTGTCATTTCATCTCTTAGTTATACAGGAAGTTGGTGATGAAAGTAATGGTGTGGTGGTGAAGGTTTGGTGTTGTGGTGGTGGTGTTGTGATGGTGGTATCAAGGAAAACATGACATCACGAAATGTAAAACCACGTTAGTACACAGTTCATGGTTTGCTCAGAACGTCTAAGGAATACTTAATCTAATGGTACCAGTAAATAAATGTATCTGAAATGTATTAAAGTCAATAAAACTTAAATATCATGTATGTAGGAAGGAGGGCGCTAGTTAAACATGCACCATTAGATAATTGCTTGTAATTAATCTTAATACATAGCCTATATACATATTATGAAACATGGACAGGCCGAGTCATGACAACACATCGCTCCTACAGCAGGTAAAAAGAAATACAAGAGAATTTAAAGGAATAATGGTAAATAGTCACAAAAATAAGATCACGGTGGTGGCCCTGTATAATGGCGCTCACGTACAGTACCTCAAAAAACTATCTATACAAAATTGTGTTCAAAAAATATAACACAATGGACGAAGGATTTTGACAACCCGACCGAGACAACAGGAGTCACAGTGTTCATTCTGAAATTCATCGATCACCCCAAGTCCAGGTAGTTTTTTGAGTAACTGTACATAAGAAATAAGGATCCTGAACCTTGTATCACTTTGTTGAATCGTATGATAAAGGTTCACAGGCAAGAACACATAAGTACCGCCTAAGGCTAACAAGTCACTTTAGACGATGGAGATACAAATACATGAAGATTACTTACCAATAGGTATATGTAGATACCAGATCGTTCAGATTTGCACCAGAGATCAGGATGATTCCACACTCATTCGAATTGCTGGAGGAAGAGGGAAAAGGAGAGAGAAAACAGGGAGGGAGGTGAGGTGAGGACAGGCGAGGCAGGCGAGTGAAGAATTATATACCCATACTCACATAAAGATTCCTGCGTGAAGCTGGCGGGCTCTGACATCACGTTTCTAACTCGCGACGCTGATTGGTTGGTTAGGGAGGCCTTCTGGGTGACAGTTGTCCTTAGAAGCCGGTGGGGAGGAGATGCTGTAATTCATAGACGTAACAATGTGAAGTGGATGATCATAAAGAGAAGTCAAGGATGTTAGATAAGAGAGGAGATTGAACAGGAAATATGTCTGTGTTTATGAGTGATTAAAACTGACAATGTTTGGCGAGATACCGAGTGTACAGTATATCTCTGACCTGGAACTAACCTGAGATTCCACACCAAAACAAACCATTACCATCGCTTAGTAGCCTTAAGTTACACCCCTACCTAATACACCTGATGCACCCTAGACAAACTCCTCTACACTGACTTTTAGCTCTATTAAGTGTAAGGTGTATTAGCCACGAAAGTCACCACTTGTTACTCGAGTCGTCAAAATGAAACACTTTCTACACAATGAGTGTTTTGTAATCGATGTCAACAAATGCATGGGTTGGGGTGACTCTCTGGACCCTTTAAGCTTGTTGACTAATATGAGAGTTGTTCGAATCTAACTCTTATTCAACTGGATTTGGGGATCAGTCCTATATTCCTAACTTCTCTCAGAGCAACATATTGCATGAAGGATGTTTACCAGTTATGCATCACAGGCCTCTGAGACTGTTCTGGCAGTAGGTCGTCAGTAATGGTTTTCAAGAACTATTTAGTTTGTGGGATTTTACTTGGACTAGAATTTATTGGATTAAGCTTGTTACATTTTCTCTGATACAACAATCATTTTCTTTTCTTCTGTTTTATTAATTCTTTTAGTTACTCTTTGGATGTTACTTCATTACCTTGTTACAGTGTTTCACTTAATGTAGTCTGTCTCTCCTGTGTGGCGTAATATTCTCTGTGTCGGCAGGTATGAGCTGCACTTCACTGTATCAGATAGAGTGTGGGACCAGAAGAACGTGCCAGCCAACGTGACGGTGGTGGTGAAGTACCTGTCGCCTGAGGCCTTGACACACGCCGTTCCTGTAACTCTCACGCCCACCACACCTGCAGCTCTCACCACTGGCTGGACACCCATGGTAACACTGGCTCCTTGGCTAGTTTATATCACTATTTGACAAAAGTTCACTCTGACGTCTGTGTGTATGTATACTCTGGAGGCTCTTAATATCATGAGTCTACACCAACTTCTCTCCTCATCCATACACGGAAGTAGAAATAAATCTTAGCTTCCTTTGCTGTCTTGTTATGTGTAAGAATACTGTATCTTCCATAACGTCATGATGTCTTCACCCAGTTAGGATAAGAAACTAAACTGTAGTTGTACCCACTGCAGATGTTCACTGCCGTTCACCCGTGTGTTTTACCCTCTAGCATGGTGGCGGTGGTCTGGGGACACTGACAGACGTTGTAGTACAGGTGGTGGGGAAGGAAGCTGAGGCGGCGGAGATCGTTAGTGTCTACGGCCTCCCCGCCCAAGACACCTCCACCGCCCCTACCTTCCCGAAGCTTTCCTCATCTAACACCAACCACGTCGTCCGCCATTCACCCGCCACAGCGCCCCTCGCCTGTGTGTGGGTGAGCGTCAAACAAGTGGGTGGCGGTTTCATGGATCCACTCAAGCTCCACGGGTTGCTGGCACTACACCTGCAGCACGTGAGTACCAGCCATGACCACCAATACAATTTATGTAAAATCCTTCTTCCTTGAACACTAAGCATGTGCGTTTTCCCTTATGGCTTCTTTGTATTTAGTAGTTGGTTGGTTAATTTTAATGGGAATAAAGATCTAAGAACGTAAGAATGGATAGAAGTGTGTGAATAATATAATACAGTGTATGAGTGTGTTTGTCAAGTATGACACCCGATCAACAAGAAGGAATGTATCATTTAGAATTCCTCTCACGTGTTTGTTACCGAGTGTTGTCATATCTTCTAAAACACACAGATGCACTGTTAACCATATTAGCCAAAGAACTCCATAAAAAAATACAGTACTCACCATTTAAACCACATTTTCATGAATTACAGAATTAATAACACTCACTCCAAAGTTATTATTGCCATTAATTTGATTCCTACAACATATCATTAATGCCGAGTTAGTTCTCTTTATAATGTGTTTCCTTCTGTACACTTTACCCCAGTTAGAGAAGGTGATGAACCTGAGGGTGGCACTGGAAGGAACACACACTATGGCGGGGAACAATGGGGAGACTTCATCTGTTTCCTCTGGCTCCTCCTCCTCAGATGCGATGTCCCCTCACAACCCTTCTTCGTCTGTTGCCTCCCTCGCGTCAATGGTCCTCCCCCTTCAGGTAGGTCATCTCTCATCACACACACACACACACACACACACACACACACACACACACACACACACACACACACACACACAGGTACATTTTCTCCAGCTTGAAAGTATGAAATCAGCTTATAAAACAAGTACTTCTGTTTCCAGGTTGTAGATACGAATGCTACCTCCCTGGTCACTCCCCGACTGACACGAGCCCACGACTGTCACACTCACACTCTGTATGATGAGGACACTTGTACACCTTCCTCATGTCTGAATGGTGGACGATGCGTGAGGACTCAGCTAGGAAACAGGTAGGAGGATGGAGGATGGGAAAGAAAAGGAGGAGGAAGAGTAGCAGGAAGAGAATGAGAAAAAGGAGGAGCAGGAGGGAGTATCCGCCATTAATCTTACTTTTTAGTGTTAAATAATTTGTGTTGTGAATTTTGTTGGTATTTCTATGATTTCTCTCTTATTTGCTTTCTGTTCTCTGCATCTAATCTTGTATGTACTTTCTCTTTTCTGTACTTTCTCTTCTCTGTACTTTCTCTTTTCTGTACTTTCTCTTTTCTGTACTTTCTCTTTTCTGTACTTTCTCTTCTCTGTACTTTCTCTTCTCTGCACGGGCGAAGAAAAAGAGTAAATTTTCCAGAAAAAAACTCTCAAAACTGCTAAAGTGTTGAATAAATTATCTTAAATGTGCTTACCTCATTAATACCAGCAAATGTAAGACGAGATGACACCAACAGCTGAGTGAGTTTGTGCTTGGCAGTAAAACAAATCACAAGTCTCTTAAAAATTTTATAATATTGGCCATAAAAAAGGTTTATAAAATTACCATTGTTTTCTTTGTTTATACATCATATTTACAATAAATATCCAATAAAACAAACAACACAATTATAAAAAGGATAACAAAGATCAGGTGCTAGCCACATCTTCAAATTCCAATACTGTATTATACTTCTTTTTCCGCCGCCCCTCATCAACACAAGAGGTATGACCTGTGCAAATCCCATATATTTTTTCTCTCGTTGAAATAGGTTCTTAAACCTATTTTATTTATAATTGATGAGGATCATATTGTTGAATTATACCAAAGTCATGGTCCAATGAAAGCAGAATCCACATCTCACAGCTCTCTATCCTCCATTTTGTGGTGCCCAGGGGCAGCTGAGGCCATTCTGCTTTTAAAGATAGTGATCATAACATTACTGGTCAGTGTTGGTGAATTTGAATTTTGCCACGTACAGTGGCTAGTTTATTGTGCGCCCTATGCTCCTCCTGTGAGCGGTAGTGCAAAAGGATTACAGAGTAGAGGTCACAAAGGGTGTGATAACAGTTTGATCTTGACACCCCGGTCAACAAGGTACGCATATTTGTGTCTGACTTCAGAGACAAGCGCGTGACAACTTGAGTTGAGGGTGCCAGTGCAAGTAGTGAGGATAGAGAGTCAGTGATCATGAGACTATCAGTAACTGTCTTCAACAAATTCGATAGCTGTGAGTATGGCAACTAATTCAGTTTGTAGAGTGGCTGCCCAGTTGTTAATTCTAACTCCTTTCTCAAATGTATTACCGTTAGGTTGAGTCACAGCGACAGCACTTCCAGCCCTCCCACAGGCGGTGTTAAGAGATCCATCAGTGTAGATGGTCTGTGTGATATTATCATCAGTCAGTAGGGTGTGTATGTGTGCAAGAGCTCTCACTTAGGCAGTGTGCTAGAGATAAGACTTTAAGTAATTAATTGTTTAGGCTCGTATGTTAGTATTGTGATATCAAAGGAAACAATCTGTCAGGGTGGTAGGCAGCACTGTTCTATCTAAGCTTTGTACAGATGGTTTAGTCCAAACATCCTCATATGTGTAGCTGTAGTTTGGATCCATTTAGATTCACCAGTCCCATGGTTATATTAAGGAAACAATGTTATCAGGATCACCACGCAGAAGCCTCAGGGCTATCATGAGGTTGACTTCAATTATTCTATCTTTGACACTGGATGTACCTAGTTCTTTCCTCATATTAAGTACTTTTAGTGTTCATGGGACCACCTACGATAATTATGAGGCTTTATTTATATTTTTTCGAGCATTTCAATACCTTTCCCATCAAGAAGGACCAGGGCTGGTGCATGATAATAATCTATCAGATATCTTATATAGCCGAGGTACATTGTTTTAACAATCCACACTTGGTGATGCGTTAATTTAGAATATCAGTAATATGCTCCTTGGAGGTCTATAATGTCATAACTCACTAACCAGAACACCAACACCCTTGGCCTCACCCCCAGCTGTCTCTGAACTTCTGTAATAGGTGTTTTAACACTGTCTTACTGTTACTGTACTTGAATCGTTCCCGTAAGATTAAACAAAAATCCCATATAAATTTCCTGATATTCACTTGTTATATTTTCTGGTCTCAAATTCCTAAATATGACATACTGTATAATGTTGAAAACCACATCGGAAAAAGAAAACCCAATTATTAAATAATAGCGGTTTATTTTGTGAACTCTTCAGTATGCGTCCTCCTTACTGCCTAACTGTGGTGGGTCTTCATGTCACTTATCTTTTCCTTCTCATGTTACCAAATATAGACCAGGGGAAAATCTCTGGACCAACTAGCTAAACAATGTAATCTGGAGAAGCTAGGAAACTCTTGAGAATAGGCTGTGTGTGTGTGTGTGTGTGTGTGTGTGTGTGTGTGCGCGCGAAAATGCCAAACCGCTTTTTATAGCAATATAATACACTTTAATTGCCATTGTTATAAAGGTGTTGTGTTGCAGGTGTGTGTGTCCAGGAGGGTCGGGGGGGCCTCGCTGTAAGGTACTGGCTCGCACCTTCTCAGGGTCCGGCTGGGCGTGGGTACGACCACTACCTCCGTGTCTCCCCACAACACTCTCCCTACGTCTCCTCACTCACAGCCCTGACGCACTCATTCTCTACTCTGGACCTCTTTCATCGTCATCCACCCACGCCCACTACCCACCCACGCCCATGATGGCGCTACAGATGGTGGGCGGACAGCCACAGGTGGTGCTGGAAGGTGCGAGAGGACCAGTGAAGCTACAGGTGAACACCACACTGAACACTGGCACCTGGCACACCCTACACCTGCATCTCAACGCTCAGGTATCGTCTTCACTGTTAAACTGAGAATTTATCCTCAAATTGTTTTATCCAAGGCAGTGAGGGGATAAGTCTTATTATCCAAGGCAGTGAGAGGGATAAGTCATATTATCCAAGGCAGTGAGAGGGATAAGTTCCTCTTTCAGTAGTCTACAATAACATACTGACGCTACCCCAAAATTCCCCCTCAGAATTGGAGATGACGTCCAAGATGGCTTCTGTACAGTAAGGTGGCACTAACTCGTGAACCAGTTGATATACAAGCATAGTATTAATACATGGGTAAGGGTTAGTCAGATCAATGTTTGCCGTTACAATCAATGTCATTGTTGACGTTCTTCCTCCCTCGAGTACCCTCTGCGTGGATGACCTGTCGGTATCTTTCTTTCCATTAAGGATGTCAATGGAGGAGCGACTCCTTCATTTGTCGCTTGTATTTTCCGGGTCTCTCTCTCTCTCTCTCTCTCTCTCTCTCTCTCTCTCTCTCTCTCTCTCTCTCTCTCTTTTCTTGAAAACCGTGACCATACACTTCCATCACTCCATCTAGATTCTTGCTTATTTCTGTACGGACACAAGATTCCGTGTGAGAGTGAGCTGTGCTTCTTTGGGATGATCTTTGATAGGCAACTTACTTGAGCTGCCCACCTTCCGTCTCGCACGACTTCATGACAACGTGCACTAGATATCGTCCAGATGTTGGCTCACACATCATGGGGAGCTGATCTTACTACCCTTCTCTGTTTACAATGTGTTCGTGAGTCAAACATTTGACTATGGATGCGAGGTTTACTTTGCAGCAACTCTGAATCACATTAGATGTCATCCACCATGTTGGTATTTGTCTGGTCATTGGAGCTTTTTAAGACTTCCCGAGCCTCTTAGTTGATGCTAGTGAGACACCACTGGAATTGCAATGTCATTCACCATAGAGCAGTGCTGGTACCACATGCAGAAGTTCCCAGAACCTCCAATGGAAGCATGTGTGTTGGGAAATATTACCTCCTTCTTTATGCTACCTATGCACAGTTGCCAAGGCCTTTTAGAGACCACGTTCGCATAGTGTTGAGTAATCTCCCTCATACTCAGTTAACCCGATGAAGTTTACAGCAGTTACTCCTTGGACTCTCCCAGAGTTTACTTCTGTCGACACTTCACCAAGACAAAAATTGAATATAAGGAACATAGGTTTTATGTTTTTAGAGCATTCATCCCAGCAGGTGCACTTGCTTTCTATTTTCACCAGTGGCTCCAAGTGTGATGCTGGTATTAGACTTGGAGTATTCTGTTCAGTCTTTTTCCGAAGCTGTGTCTTACCTACTGCTGTTTCAGGGAATCCTTACCGGCTAGAACAGGACTTGTATCAAGCTCTAGGGTCATAAAACACACTCCACCCTCTGCTTCTTGAGGTACTGGAATGGCAATTCTTTATAATGACATGGCTGTCAGGTCAGTTTCTTCTGGGTACCAGCACATGTGTATGTGACAGGTAGACAGGTGGCCCGGGCGCATTTTTACTAAGTCTCTTAGACACTTTTACATAGGGGCCTGTGACGTCACATGTATGACATCACACCATGAATGGGTTGCCAGCCATTGCCATAACTTACACTCCTTGTGAGGTTATTTCCGGAATACAGGCGAAAGCTCACATGTGATATCGGGGGATTTCTAGTATGTTATTAAATGTCATCCCTCGCCTACTGTTCTCTGATGTTTGGGTACAATTGAGTTTTTTTATTAGACTAAAACCAGGTATGATTACCTTGTTCTATCCCAGCTTGGTCTCGAATTAGAGCCAATTTACTATGCGACAGCCATCCTGGACTCCATCTTGAATTCTGAGTTAAGCACAAGGAATTTATTGTGGGGGGAGGGGGAGTTAATGTGTTATTGTTGACTATTAGGAAATTATCATGGACAAAAAATTCAACCTTTTCTTTTTTTATTCCATCTTGTGGCATAAAAGTTACATTATATCTTTTGAACGTCTCAATTAAATAAGCTGAAATTGTATAGAAATTTTCCTCAGAACTTCCTAATATATCCACATTGTTTGAGGATCTACATTTCTTGTTATAGCCTGACACAATGTTTTAAATAATGTATCACTCAGTCATTCATTGTATGAGTATAATGTGTCCTTTACTTATTCTGTACAGTACATGATGTTTATTCTTTAACCACGACCATTACACCCACCCATGACGACCATTACACCCACCCATGACGACCATTACACCCACCCATGACGACCATTACACCCACCACCGGACGACCATTACACCCACCCTCGACGACCATTACACCCACCACCGCGACGCCCACACACCCACCCATGACGACCATTACACCCACCCATGACGACCATTACACCCACCCATGACGACCATTTCGACCATTACACCCACTCATGACCATTACACCCTGACCATTACGCCCACCCTCGACCATTACCCTCATCATGACCATTACCTTGAGTTGGTAACATTAGACATGAGAGGTGAGGAACACGAGACATGAGAGGTGAGGAACACGAGACATGAGAAGTGAGGAACACGAGACATGAGAGGTGAGGAACACGAGACATGAGAGGTGAGGAACACGAGACATGAGAAGTGAGGAACACGAGACATGAGAGGTGAGGAACAAGGGAGTCATAAATATATTTATTAAAAAAAAATATTGATTGTTTTTTTACTAACATGTGCTTCAGGGAGTCATGTTGATGGCGGACCTGTGTGGCAAAGGCTGGACAACCAACACAACCAATGACCTTCACTGCATCGCGAGGTCATCCTGGAGAGACTCGCGGGTCACGGAGAGTTGGAGCAGCAGTGTTCCTCTACAGATTGGTGGTCTTGCTCACCCTTACCCTGATCCTGTTGAGTTTGGCTGGTCAACTGACTTTGTGCAACAGGCCTTAAATGGTTGTATCTCCCACCTCACTATCAATGGCCAGGTATTGTGAATCTTAATACTGTACTTACTTACCTACACCTGTTGTCGTTTTCACACTCTTGATTTGTATCTTAATCGACAAGTGAGTTTTTAAAGGGCATCTGTATTGGGTTTTTGTTGTTGTCGTTGTTGTTTTCATTAGTAGAAAGGTTGGCCGGCGCTGCTCCCCATGGTAATACCAGTCAAAGGGAAGTACAGGAAAGTTCTCTATCATGGCCTCATCAACAGTGTTATACTCTTAAACATTGTGTCTACCTTTTAATAATTACTTATGTTCTCATCTTTGTCCTATTGTTGCTTTCTTCAGCTTTTTTATATTACTTTTATTTCACTCTTACATAAGCTTAAAGAGACGACCCCTGTTCTTGTCTATTTATGAACAAATAGCAGTTATTGTCTTGTAGTTGACTCTACTGATATACTGACAATTCTCAGCTGGTTGACCTGGGCGAGCCATCATACAGCAGCAAAAGTGTGAGGGGCTGTAGAGCTCAAGAGACTGCGTGTAGTGACGGCGTGGCTACCTGTGGCCGAAGAGGACATTGTGTTGATGGCTTTGAGAAGCCTAGGTGTGACTGTGAGCCAGGCTGGACGGGGCCTGGGTGTAGCACACCAACAGTGCCAGTTACCCTCGGCCAGGCCTCATTCGCCAAAGTAGCTCTGTCATTCACACCAGACCCGTATGACATGACCTTACAGCTGCGGGTCAGAACAAGAGGTCATCCTTATGGCCTCCTGATGCAGCTGTCTACCACCAAACATTCTCGAGCTCTGAAACTACACGTAAGATTATATACATTACCTTCCTGTTATTATTTATTAATTAGCCGTTTATTGCCAGATTGAGTAGAATAAGATTTTGCCATGTTTAGGAAAATATTCAGGAGACTGTCTCTGCACTGGTTGCAACAGCTGCGCGGTGGTGTGGCGTGTGTGTCAGTGTCTGGGGTAGAATGGTCCCTGGAGGAGGTGTGTGTGGAGGGCTTCCCGCTGGGCGATGGCTCCTGGCACACCATACGAGTAGGTCGTCACGGACTTAACCTCATCATCTCGGTGGACGACGGGGATGGCTGGCGACAGAACCAGACGCTGGCTTCCTTCCTCACCACCACCAGCCTGGGAGACATGCAGGCTCTTGTAGCAGTGCCTCCTACACCCATCACTGTCGACAAGCAGGATGGTATGACTGTGGGTGGCATCCCAGAGTTTGAGAGCCTCAGACTCGTGACAGTTCATGATGACCTCCAGAACAGTGAGTAGAAGTCCCCAGCCCATAATGAGTCTATGGTGACCTGGAAGACATTAAATAGGAGTCTAACGTATATGAAAATAACTGTTAATATTTATGAATGAATATATTACGTGAAAAGAATGTTAATTTGTAAACACTTGTGATGGTTTTTGCTTTAATTGATGTTTACAGAAAGATATCTCATTGTCTATTTTGGCTATAGTATTGACCAATGGTGTACAATATATACTGTAAATAGACACAGATAATTTGTGTTTATACAAGATTAAGCCAAAATAAATTCTTATATGGTGTTACTCTTGACAGGTTGTATAGACGATGTACGTGTGTCAGGTCACCCCCTCCCTCTACCACCTACTATGAATGGGACCAACTGGGGGGAGGTGACCACCCTACAACACCTCGACCAAGGGTGTTCTGCCCCGGACTCTTGTGCTAACACCACCTGTCTCCCTCCCCTCACTTGTCATGACGTGTGGAGACAAGCAACGTGCAGGTGAGGATTTAGTGTATCAGAGAGAGAGAGAGAGAGTATGGGAAGATGAGTGGGCAGAAGTAACCTGTACTGTTGTAAAGGGGCTACCATACTCACCTTGGCTCAAAAGTTCATAATGAAGATTTTTTTTGAGGTAATTCTTACTTCCAATACAGTCATGTTGGTCTATGTCATACCAGCCATTTAGTGAGGGACTGGTTCCAGGACCATCCACAAATTAAGGTGCTGGACCGGCTCTTTAAAAGGATGCAACCTTCACCCAATTGGTCATCTTTGGGCATGACCTTAAAGGAGCTCTGTATATTACTGCCTGTATTCTCATAAATGGACAGCTGCTATTATTGGTTAATTTGTCATCAGTAACAATAGTGTGCGCTATATTTGTGTGATAAAATAGAAAAACCAGATAGTGTTTGTGTGAACATTAAGTAGGGTGAAACACGTTGCTGGTGATTGAAGTGTATTAATCAGTTGGTAAACCACTTTGTCGTTAGTTTAAGCTCTCAACACCACTTTTTCTGTTATTTTCATGTAACATCTGTGTTAGTTATAGTAGTTCTCTATAACATATGTTAGAGGTAATAAATCAGAGGCAGTATGTCTGAGTGATAAAGTGAATAGACATAAATTAATCAAATAACTTTCCTCCTGTGTGAAGGTTGGTTACCCTGGCTCTCCCCCCCTGACGTCTTGAGACTGTCTTTACCAGTCCTCCCAGTTTTCCTCTCTTCAGGAACTCGGCTTTTAATCTTCATCCATTCCAGCCTCTTCCTTCTCCTGGCTCTCCTACCTTCAGCTTAACCCATTAGTGGAGATAGTTTATTAACATCACCATTTTCTCCTCATCCTTGACTATATGGCCAAGGTATATCTTTTTTTAATCCCATACATTTTTCAGTTTTTTCAGTCAATCTTAGTACGTCTTCATTTATTTTTTTGAGTCTAACTTACCTTTAACTTTCCCCTGTTACACCACAGTTCAAATGATTCTCGTCTCCTTCTGGTGTCTATTGAGAGTCCCCGCACTTCTGGCCCTTATAAAAGTACTGACTATATATAGCATTTCAGAAGTCTTTTTCTCATGCTAATATTACAATATTGTCCTTTTTTATAATACCCCTAAAATTATTAAATGCTGATTTGCTTAACCTAGTCTTGTTTTGATTTCTCATTCACACCTGCCATTACAACTTATGTTACTCCACAAACATTAAAAATACATCTGTTTGTGTTCTTTGATGCCTATCATTGTTTTGTTGTTAGTGAGTTTTGTTTTTTTCAATTCAGAAACGACCATTATTTCCATCCATACAGCATTAACTCTAAGCCCATATTTTTTGCTATTTCCCACTAGTGTGTTGACCAGTTGTTGTAATGGTTATTCTTCATAATAAGTGCAGCATGATCTACATACTAAATATTTGAAATTATTTTACCATGAACTTTGTGTCCATCATCGCTACTTACAACTTCTCTCATCAGATGTTCTATGTGTATGCAATATAATGTTGGGGTCAGCACCCAGTCTTGGCCAACCTTAAACCACATACTTAAGCTTGATATCTAAAAGCACTGTATATGTGTTCATTTTTTTACTGTAATCTGTATGATTACATGTAAACCGTACAGTAGAGGAAGGTTTTACTCAGAAGCCTGCTCAATTATTATGATGTGTAAAGTGTCACATGCAGTATATCACTCTTAGTAATGGTATAGCACTACTCTAACACCTGTGGTATTACTATTACATCTACTAGTAATTATTTTACTATTAACTAAACTCTCTGTGCTGCTTGGCTGAGCATTTACGAGTCTTCACTATTAAATTCCTAACTTGTCTGCTGCTTCATTGTTCAAACCTCAAGTGTTTCGGAGTCACATTGTGGTTGGTTAAGTGAATGAACGTTTGTACAATATTGATTTTCACTTCTAAATTCTAATCTTCCCAAATTATTCAGCTGCTAGACCTTTAAATGTATTTTCTGATGACAGCTGAAAAGTATCCATGTACAGCATCCTGTTTGTCCATTTTGTTTTAATAAATACCTATGTATATTCTTATAATTGTTAAGTCAAGACCCACCTTTCAGCTGTGAGCCAGGTCAGCAGGTGATAGGTCACAGGTGCCAGGACGTGGACGAGTGTGTGCTTCAACCTTGTTTACATGGAGGCACCTGTTACAACCTGAGACCCGGCTACCACTGTGTGTGTGGTCCAGCTCACACGGGAAACAACTGTCAGTGGACCAAGCTGCCCCCTCACCCTCACCCTCTCGCAGTACCCATGGCCATAGCAGCTCTCACACTCTCTGTTCTGATAATTGGTAAGTTTCATAACATCTTGAGTGTTGGTCTAAATACACTCACTGCATAGAACTAAACAACTTCTAGACCACAACAATTCTTGATAAAAGTTTTGTCACAATTCAGGCTAATGTAAACACCACAAAGACACCTGTTGCAAATACCGATGAAAAAATAATTGTATACATTTAAATGATCAGTAGCTTTAGCTGTCAGAATTAGTTATTGAGCACCACTTTTGTTGCCTATGTAGTAACTTGTGTAAAGTAATTTACTATCATACATTGAAATTTTAATAACTATGTAATGCATACTTTGTGATTGTTGTATTATAAGTGTGACTTTATTTGGGGCATTACACTAATACTTCCTTTTTGCACTTAATGGTGGAGTTTTGTGTTAATGTGACATGCACTCAAGTTAATTTTGCTTATTTAGTTTAATAATGTTCGCTTCAAAGTTTACAATGTTTGTATGTGTGTGTGCATGTGTGTGTACTCTCATATTAACTATCATCTTACACGATAAAGCTGAGGCATTGAACAGCTTCTTTTCCTCAGTGTTCACAAGAGAGGATGCAACTAACCTTCCTGCGTTTGAGGACAGACGGTTCGACACAGCACTGACCCACATTGTGTTCACAGAAGAGGGTATTAGAAATAAACTGTCCAGGCTAAAGGTCCATAAGAGTCCCGGACCTGACATGGTGCATCCTAGAGTGCTAAGAGAGTTGTGCAACGAGCTTGCAGAGCCCCTGAAGATCCTGTTTTGTAAATGCCTGGATGAACAAATGGTCCCCAGTGAATGGAAAGTGGCTTATGTGAGTCCTATCTTCAAGAAGGGCGATCGTCACTCCACGAACAACTATAGACCGGTGAGCCTGACCAGCATAATATGTAAAGTACTTGAGAGTATTATCAGAGATGCCGCAATATTATCAGAGATTGGAACATCTAATACGAAACAACCTTGTAAAGGATTGCCAACACGGTTTTATGCCGGGGCGCTCCTGCTTTTTTTTTTTTTTTACGGGGATTAGCCCACCCGGGCACAGGTCACTGACCCACATGAGGGCCCGGGGGGCGAAAATGTAATAATAACATTAATTCATAGTAAATAAAATTTATAATAAAAAGTAAAATAAAATATTAATGGTAATAATAATAATAACAACACTGTGATAATAATAAATACAAAGAAATGCAAGAATGAAAAAAATCAACAGTGAGAAACGCTATATGTATGTTGTTTTGTCATGTAATAGAAACAATTGAGACCCTACAATTGTGTGTAAATGGGGCAGAAAGTCAGATGAGCAACCTGGGACTTGGTCACAATTTTCGTGATGCCATATGGCAGCAGGGTCTACCATTAGACAACACATTATGCTGCCAATATCTTTCCAGGCGGTAGTACCTCCCTGTTTGGTAGCTGCCTACTACCTACACAATTGCTCAAGGTATTGGATATTTAGACCCATATTCTGGAACGGGGCGGTAATATCGACAATATTTACCTAGATTTGGCCAAGGCTTTCGACAGTGTACCCCATGAAAGGCTGAAAATCAAACTGGAAGGGTACGGAATTCGGGGAAATGTCCTAGCATGGATAGAAGACTTTCTACATGACCACCAGCAGTGTGTGGTGATAAATGGCACGAAATCGTCATCCGTACCTGTCACAAGTGGGGTACCACAGGGCAGTGTATTGGGCCCGCTGTTGTTTGTTTGTTTCATAAATGACATGCCTGACGTTGTACACTCCTCCATACAAATGTTTGCCGATGACGCCAAGTTATTTCGGGAAATTAAGAACCAAGCGGACTGTGAAGAGCTGCAGAAGGACCTCTGTGGGCTCCAGGAATGGTCGAAGAAATGGCTGCTGAGATTCAATGTCACGAAGTGTAAGAGGATGCACCTGGGGCGTACCAACGGTAAGGAGGCGTATCATATGTCCCAACGGGATGAAGAAACTGCACTAGTTGAGACTGAATGTGAGAAGGACCTAGGTGTGTGTGTTGACAATGAGCTGAAGTTCTCGGGCCATTGAGAGAAGAAGGTAAACCAGGCAAATAAATTATTGGTTCTTATAAGAAGGTCGTTCAGATATCGAGACGGTCCGTCCCTCGTAACAATCTTCAAGAGTGAAGTGTTTCCCCATCTGGAGTACTGTCACCCCGTCTGGTCCCCGAGATATGCTAGGGACTGTCAGTTGGTTGAAAATGTTCAAAGGAGGGCTACCAGACTGGTGCCTGCACTTTGGCACCTCAGCTACCCTGAGAGATTGGAGCGCCTGAACTTGCCTAGCTTATACTACAGCCGGGCAAGGGGGGACCTAATTGAGGTTACAGTTGAGTTGGTTCATTCCCACATACTGCCATGAATTCGTTTACCTTTTTTAGTTTTCTTTTTTTTTCCATATAATATTGCTTCAGTGTTTCCAAAAAGTAGAGATAAATTTATGTCTATGAGCCATTGTTTAAAGTTTTGCATAATCTATTTACTGTGATACTTCAATGTTTATTAGTATATAACATGTTTACAATGGTACAACTTTATGAATTGATCTTTTTGTGATTTATGTGTTTGAAGTGATGCTGTTTTAGCATCTTCTGGTGTACAGTAACCCCCCCCCCCCTCTTCCTTACAGTAGTGATCGGTGTCCTGCTCACTATCCGTCACCACCGGTCTCGTGCAGCGCGAAGCGTGGCGCTGTGTGCAGGAAGCGTGGAGGGGGTGACACATGTACTAGGGACTCCTATGGAGGTACAGGCAGTGACAGGCAACCCTCAAATTCAAGCATTGAAAGAAGAGAGCATCTTGCTTGGCTCCCTCAAGATGAAGATGGGTCAACAGATTCTTCTATCCCCTGAGGGTAAGAACGCTGAGCACTATGTTGCTGATGATGTACTTACTGAAAATTCCTGTGTATTGCCAAGGTTTTACGCACACACACACACACACACACACACACACACACACACACACACACACACTAAATAAATAAATAGTTTACAAATTCATATGACCAGCTCTTGACATAACACAGTCATAATAACTACTGTATCAAAATTCCTGAGTACAGTGTGGATCTCTAAAAGCAAAGCTACAAATGATTTAAAACAAGATTGTGAGGTTCGTTCTTGGAAGGAACACAAAAACCTTCAGTCACTGCACTTGATAATGTGGCAAGTAAAGTAACTAGGGCTGACTTAAGGGTACATAATTCTCAAAGGACTGTGCCCAGAGTCTCTTACAGCAACAATTACCAGGTTCTACACCGGCAGGGCCATTGGGGAAGTGAACACAATTTTATGGTGCCTGGTGTCTGCGGTCAGGCAAAACACACTTTGTCTTTACATCTCTAAAGGACTGAAGCAATATGTTTAATCACATTAAAACCAGTAATATTATCAAACAGTCCAAAGCTAATACAAATATTTATATAATAGTGTTGGGAATACAGTGGTTAGCGTGCATATGTCAAGTGTTCAAGCCTCGACCCGGAAACACGTGAGAAGGGTGTTATCCAGTGTGACCCTCGCTACCAAACATCACAGGGTTCCTAGTCTCCGGTTTCTTCCTCTAGCAACACTGGATAATAAAGATCATAACAAAGTAACAAAGAACAGATGAAACGGCTGGTAAGTGGTCATTTGATAAAAGAAGACAACATAATATGAGGTCATAGCAAGAGAAGAGAATTAGTTTCTATATTGTTAACTGCCCCCTAGCAGGAACTGCCTTTTTGTGGTGGGGATCAAGGTTTATAGACCTTGGTGGGAGGGTTCGAGGTCCTGATGATCTGGTGAACCATACCAGAGGGGGGGGGGGTCCCCTGACCCCAGTTAGAGGTCAGTGCTATCCATGCTGGAGGAATGAGATGAAATGGTTATGAAGTGCACCAAGAACCTTGAGGGGAGGATGGTGCACCCTCCCCTGGCCTAGTCCACCACAAGCCGTGGTGTATTGATGGGTAGTGGCGCCACACTTATTTCGTGTTTGTTGGTAAAGGTTATGAACCCCTCACGGTACAGGAGAACCTCTGAACATATCGAGAGAGATGATGCAAACACTCAAATCACTGGAGGATAAAATGTATGGTGGAAGAAGTTGCAAACATGGAGCTTTCTGAAAGGACATTTGAAATACATTGCGATAGATTTTAGTTTAAGATTTTGGGGAGAAGACTGTGCAATAAAGAAATGCAAATGTTAAAATTGCATTGCGAGGACACGGGATTGTGTGCTGGGCTATAAAAATATAGAGTGAGGCAGTGTGAAGAACTCAGGGGGCATATCCTTAACTGAAACTCTTTAACATATAATGAATCATCTAAACCTAAGTGTTCAAACTTTTGATGTAATTTAAAACCTTAGTTGTTCAAGTACATACAGTACATCCATAAACACAACATTAGGGTGTAAAACATTACTCAGTGTCTCTCTGCTGGCGGTCATTATGTGTTACGTCTCGGTGTATTCCCATCAATATAGCAAGTTTGATGTTGCCACATTTTATAAGTTTTACTTTACCTTTATCCTCTTCACCACTGATCGGCTCGTTAGCCGCTTGGGCGACCGGTTTTAGTGCCGTCATCACTTGGTCCAGTTTATACATCATTAGTTTATATACATTATATAGACTAACTTTCATCTCATTCATTCACGTTTTTCTTTATCAAAGGTTTTTATTCAAAAGTTTTTGTTTGTAATTTAGAATTTTTGTTGATTTTTATCATTTCACTTACAGGTACAGAGCACCTAGTCACGCCCTTGGGACCGTCATCCATCGGTCTAGTGGTGCCGGGGAGCATCATGAAAGCCCCATGTAATGAAAATGTTAAAAACAAAGTTGACCCTGGGAGATGTATCATAGCAGCAGTTACTAATCCTGCAGAAGGCGTGATCCTAGAGCACAGAGAAACCCTCCCGCAGGTAGTGTGCCCTGCCACCACATGTATCACGAGGGTGTGTGCGCCTGCGGTGTGTGCAACAACAACACGTCCTACAGCGACGACTGGAGCACCACAGGTCATTCTTGGTGCTGGTGTGACCTCTGCCCAGCCTCTACTAGCCCAGGATGATCTACGAGCTTATGCTTACGAAGGAGATGGTTCACCCTCGGGGTCACTTACTTCACCTGTTGTAGGTCAGTATAGCAAAACTTGCAAGTGGATAATGTAGTTGTCTTTCAGTGTAATATATATATATATATATATATATATATATATATATATATATATATATATATATATATATATATATATATATATATATATATATATATATATAATATACTGTATATTACATGATGTGGTGGTTCAGTAAGAAAGTGAATGGAAAGTTTCGAGTGATGTAAAGTTGTTTTACAAAAGGCAAGGAATGTGGAACATGAAAAGAAACGGAGAAAGGAATGAACAATTTCGAGTGATGGAAAGGAAGGTGGAATGCGAGGTGAAACAGAAAGGAAAGTGAATGAAATGTTTCGAGTGACGTAAAAGGATGCGAAAAGAAACAAAAGAAATGAAAGTGAATGAAAAATAAGTGATGTGATGAATGAAACAATGTTCGAAAAAATTAACGGAAACAGGAAATGTAGATTGTGTTGAGGTTCTGTTAGCTGGTAAACATATCAGTTGTTGGGGAAATATATGTACCTTTAGTATTGGAAACAAGGAACTGGACACACAAACTGCATATCAGGGCAGTGTGAGAAGAAAACAAGGATGGAATAATGTAGATAAATATATACTGATACTATAGAAGAGAGAAAAGGGGAAGCTGTAACACCCATTAACAAAAGAAGATGATAAGGAGAAGAAGAATAATCATCCAGTTGTACTTAAGCTCTATGAAGAAGCTGAGGTAAGTTATGTCCAGTGAGTATCATACAGAGTTCATGCTAGTCTTTTATCTGGAGAAGCCTTAGAGGGGCTTCCTTAACGCAAAGATTTATAAAGTGTTTTTGATTGATACACTAAAGGGGGTCGTTTGATGTTAATACAAACTATATGGTATAAAGTGTTGACAGTGGAAGGTTTTAGTGTACCATAGTGTTGTTATACATACTATATTAAAGATGGCGATGATATTCTTGCAGGTTAAAAGTTAAAACGAATTGTGAGAGATGTAACACATGAACAATATATTCTTTAAGATAACGACCATCCATCCTACCCCCCTCCACCCCTTTGAAGGCGTAACAACAGTACAAACAAGCTATTAGGAGATAACACATCACAATCCATAATAAGAATAACTAATCCTGCTATTTTTTACTGTCATGTTGTGTCCTTCACAGTTAGCGAACACGTCTTGGTGGATGCCGCACCTACCACCAGCTCCTGACCACAGCACCCACACACTGACTAGAAATGACCATCACGCCAACATGATGCCTTAATGGTGGCCGCTGAGTGAGAGCATCCCGCCATAAACAGGTGATGATGGACACTTCCTTATCTCTGGTTTAAAACTCCTCCAGTCTAACTCATCTCTTCTTCTTCTTCTTTCACATAGACTTAACTGTTCATCTCAAATTTCTTGTGTTCTTTTTCTTCCTCCCTTATCCATCCCTCTCCTGTCCCTTATCCCTTTCCTCTCCCTTATCCCTTTCCTCTCCCTTATCCCTTTCCTCTCCCTTATCCCTTTCCTCTCCCTTATCCCTTTCCTCTCCCTTATCCCTTTCCTCTCCCTTATCCCTTTCCTCTCCCTCTTCTATCTTCGTTGTCTCGCCCTCTCTCTGTCTCCGGGCTGTAGGAACTTCTTAATGTCAGATACATAAACATATTAGACTAACAAGCTGGTAAAAAATTTCTTCGTATTAATATCAAGTCTCCGTTACTAGGAATGTTTTTTTTTTCCTTATAGCTCTAAGTAAGTTGTCTGCGCTTTGTTTATGCTGTTCATACGCCTCGTTTACTGAATAATGAGAATGCTGTACGTCTCACTCGATACATCACGGGGCATTACGTCAGCATACCCCCCGTGTCAACATTTTTTATCACTCGTACACATTTATTTTTATGACTCAATTTCATTATTAAGACAACTTTCACTTCACTTTTTCTATGTTTCTTTAAATACACAGTCTGTTGAGGTTTGTATCAGCCGCTCTCAACAGGTATCAACAAGTATGACTCCAGTTCACTTTGCTGGGTTTTTTTTCTTCTCAATAACTGATGATTATGTTCATGTGAAGGGAGGATGAGGGGGTCGTCTCCACCTGATATAAGAGACTGGCACTGATTGGCTAAAATTAGTCATGGGAAGTAATGAAAGTTGTCATTGGGTAGCCTGTGCTGACGCCTGGTGGTTACGTGATGCCATGGGTGATGTTATAATAAAAAAAAAAATAATAATAATAATTAACGGTTTATTGAAAAAAAAAAAAAAAATCTGCAGCCCGAAGGCTGAAAATATACATTGGACATAAATGACTTATTACATACATTGGTGGTTTAACAAGAGCCTTCATTAGAGAAAAGTAAAGGAACATACAGATTATTATAGGTGTTAAACAGCAAACTCGTAGTGTAGTAACTCCCTCCAGATGGTGTTATGAGGGACCTGGCGTGGTGTAGTAATTCCCTCGCAGATGGTGTTATGAGGGACCTCACGTGGTGTAGTAATTCCCTCACAGATGGTGTTATGAGGGGCCTCACGTGGTGTAGTAACTCCCTCACAGATGGTGTTATGAGGGGCATCACGTGGTGTAGTAATTCCCTCACAGATGGTGTTATGAGTGGGTAGTAATTCCCTCACAGATGGTGTTATGAGGGACCTGACGTGGTGTAGTAATTCCCTCACAGATGGTGTTATGAGGGACCTCACGTGGTGTAGTAATTCCCTCACAGATGGTGTGATGAGGGACTTGACGTGGTGTAGTAATTCCCTCACATATGGTGTTATGAGGGACATGTGGTGTAGTAATTCCCTCACAGATGGTGTTATATGAGTGAGGTTTGGTCTTAGGCCTTCCTATCGTAGACGGATTAACACATCACTGGTTGTTGTTGGGTCGGGCCGTTATCACTGGGTACCTGGGACCTCACTGTGTGAAGGTTAACTTGGGTACGACTGTTACTGTTGAGTTGTTCTCACTGACTTAAGCACTGTTCACCACTGTTCACCACTGTTTAACACTGGTTCCGTTCCTTTCCTAAATGAAATTGTAACTTCTGGCGAGAACTTGTTGATATTCCGGTGGGGAGGAGGGTTCAGGGGAGGGGGTTGGTATGGGCCAACTTAACAGTTGACCTGGCTGCTCCGAGAGGAGCGCCAGGTACGTCTTGACCCTTCGGTGGTCAAGGATGTTATGTGATCCCCATGGGTGATGTTATGTGATACCATGGGTGATGTTATGTGATCCCCATGGGTGATGTTATGTGATCCCCATGGGTGATGTTATGTGATACCATGGGTGATGTTATGTGATCCCCATGGGTGATGTTATGTGATACCATGGGTGATGTTATGTGATCCCCATGGGTGATGTTATGTGATGCCAAGAGTGATGGGTGATGTTAGAGCAGGATACAATTATGTTTTTAAACCATTGTATGACATATTATGGCCAATGATATATTTTTATATCTTGGTTATATAATAACATTCCTACAGTGGCTCATCAGTAGGTAGCAGAACAGGTGTTAAGTGTGGGTGGGGAGGTGCTACAATATGGTCAGGATATAAAAGAAGGTGTTAACTATCTACTCCCACACATAAAAGAGAAAATTTTAAAGTAAAATCTATTTTCTAGAACTGTATTAACATAGTGACTCACTTCAGTGTTGTCTGCTACAGCTGTGTGTGAGGTAGTCAGTCGTTCACACACCGTCAGGACTCAGCTGCTGTGTCCACTCTTCTCACCAGACTGTCTTCATACCTCCTCACTCAAAGCATAGATGCAATAAACCTCTTATGAGAACCTGTCATCTTCATTCAACCACGCCCACTACCCGTCCACCCCCATGATGGCGCTACAAATGGTGGGCGGACAGCCACAGGTGGTGCTGGAAGGTGCGAGAGGACCAGTGAAGCTACAGGTGCATACCACACTGAACACTGGCACCTGGCACACCCTACACCTGCATCTCAACGCTCAGGTATCTTATTCACCTGCATGTTATTTTTTTCATATTAATTATGGTACCAAAGGCTGTCCTGTGTTAGTTTTGTCTTTAACAAAACTTACACTAACTCTAAATCATTTTTCCTTCCCATTTCTAAGTTCACTATGTGTTCAGCCAATCCTGCGGGCAAGACAGAAGTGCGAGTGTTAAAGAGAGAATGTACTTGCATAAAATTAGTTTATTAGAAAGGAATTACAGGCTATAGTATACATGGAAGCACTGCTGCTGGCACTGCACTCCACCACTTTTTAATTCACCATCTGTAAAGTTAATTACCCATTCAGCATAAGTGTTGGTCGTGGCCACCTTATTCAGTGGCCGGCCGCAGGACTCGAACCGGCGGCCATTGGGTCACGAGATGAGTGCTGTCATCCACCGAGCCTTGAGTGTAAATGTGATTGATATTGGTAAGTTTAAGAGGTTGAAACTTAAAGAAACAGGGAACTGATGGAAGAGAAAGATGTAAGAAGGAAGAAGAGAACGATAATAGTTTCAGGGTTTTGTTGCTATTTAATTCTCGGTATATACAGTACAGCAGCGCCAGGTGAACCATAAGAACACCCGGCGTGATAAACAGTAGTAATTAGTGAAGGAATCATTGACATTCATCAGTGTTGGATATCAGGTAAATTTTTAATCATTCTTACCATGGGAATAGGTTGGTGATAAACAGAGCCACTAAGAGCCTTGTAATCGTGTTGTGTATTGTCACGAGTCAGTAAGAGATGGATCATATTCTGTGATAGTGATTCATTCATTTGTTTTGTTTGGGATCTTTATTTTATTAGTTTTTTTTTTGTATTCATTCTTAACAATTCCGGCAGTGAGTGGCGCTATTTGTGGACCTTCAGTGGACGTGGTTGGGAAGGTAAATGAAAGCGACAGAGTTGAGGACGCTTATCAACTCCATTCTCACTGTACAGAGCACAGTCGCACCTCAGTAACCTGCCTCATCTGCCTCACTCAGTAGACAGGTAAGGTATTCCTTGGTCTTATGTCTTTAATGATTCATTATTCATGATCAGGCTTACAGTGGTGTCATCACTCTGAATAAGAATTGCATTGTCAGTGGTATTGTTATCGTGAAAATTCTTATAATTTTGTCTTCAGTGTTTCAATCTCAAAAAAAAAAATCACATGTTTTTATTCCAAGTGTTGTCTTCTTATTTCAGTCCTGACTCTTATGTACTTAAGTCCAGATAAGTTATTATTGGACTGATGTCTTGGTCTTGATGATGAGGGTGACTACGAGTATAGTTTTTATCATTGACATACTCAGTGTTAGAATGAACAGCTGTCTAAGATGAATCTCTTCTTGTTCCAGAATAACGAGTGCTGGTGATAATCAACCAGAAACAATACCCAACTTTATGCTAAGAGAGTTTATGTGATAAATACTGACCAACTGAGTATCAACAGGGTAGTGAGAATGTTGAAGGACATGAACCAGGGAAATCATAGAGGAAAACGTCTGTGTCTACCATTCTGACACTGACAAGTTCCCTGGTTAATAATGAAGAGGGAGGCAAATGGCTGTCCAGAAGAAGGCGAGATAAGAAACAAAAGAATACGTCAGAAAATGTGAGAGAGAAAACACCATATTAAATTATGGATTAGAGCAACGCGGATGAAACACTACAGATCTTAACTCTATTGAAAATGTTGCTTTTAACAGTGAAAGAAGCCAGGATTGTCACTAACGAAAATACACACAAGGAATAGATGTATCCTAAATTGGAGGCTGGCAGTGAGCTCAAGACTCTATGAGTACTGTATACGATTACATCACTGAGTAAGCGGAGTGATGTGTTCTACATGGTTGAGTGTAACAAAGAATGATGTGCTCGTTCAGGTAGTGTATTTATCAAGATTTTTAAAACCCAGAGTTTGGAGGATGATGATGGAGGCTTCTTACCATCTGGGATTTATGAGGTAAATTGACAAGAAAGTAAAATGTGTTTCTGTACAGTGGAAACCGAAAGGAAATTCTTACCTTCTAAACTAGACAACAGACGACACTGCTTTGCTTCTTTACTGCCAGACAGAGAAACATCTTACCTGTCGAGAAAACTGTGTGTCAGAATAATGGTGATGAACTATTAATATTTTCCTTTGCAAGAGTTGTTACCATACAAGAGTGACTCGACAAATTCACCAATGTTTACACGTTGCCACCTCTGTGCTTAACCCTGATATTGTTATTACGTTAGTGGGTACAGACGCGTTCTTGTCACTTTCTTTTTTATGGAATCAAAAATATAGTATCTGCTTTGACACCAATTCTGTGATCATTTTTATTAGCTGAGGAAAATTAACACACCTTAACACACTCACAAGTAAAAACTGACATCTTTGAGGGTATTGATATCTTAAACTTCCAATCAGGTGAAAGTTGGTCCCATAAGCATGACTGCCCATTAGAGACAGTGTGGATATAACACACTGCACACTAAGCCTTCGGTACACAAGGAGGCAGCGTGACCTGTACTGCTCTCAACTGTCCTGACTTCCCTAAATTGTAAACTTAGGTACCCATTTACAGCAGGGTGAACTGGGAGCCACATCTGATATTTGCAACTGAGCAGGCTTTAGTGTTCCCCCACTGGCACTGATCTTGTTACCAAGGTAACAGAATTTATCATAGCCGTCCATGAGTTTCTTTCTCCAGTAGTCTGTCATTTACTCCACCACACCTGTTGTGTACCTACCTTCCACACTCATTGCACATTAATGAGATGCTGCCAACAACTTTTTGGCCGACAGCACACGGCGATTTTCCATTTTCCACTGCTGGCCCTTCACGGACACCTCTAATCAATAATTTTGTTTTCGCCACATTTACACTCACGCTCTTTACCTCAATTTCACCATTCCATTTCTTTTTTCACTTCCTCTTCAATACTATCTATCAGCACTAAGATATCAGCTACCAACAGCTCCTAGGGCAGGTCAGCCCTAAATTCTCGTGATAGACAATGATAGACAGAAGGGCCTCAAGACAGACTTTTTACTTTCACCTCAGATTTCTCACTTTCCTCACCATTTACTCTCACAGAGGTTATTGAGCTCTCATATAATGTCATAACCACTTGAACAATATAATCCTCAACTCCTAGCTCTCACGAGGTACCCTGTGAAATTCCTTCTCAAAGTCTACAGTTATATAATACAATTTTCTCTCTCCTTAAATATTGCATTTCGTTTATGTCTCGTGTACTCTCACACTTATCCATATCTCAGCCACTCTTAGACCTTTCATGCTTTGACCTAGAAGCTTCAGACTACTGTATCTCCCGCATTCAATTGGATTCTTTTTCATTTTGTCACTTGCTTTCTTCTCCTGTTCTCTTTCAATCCTTGGACATGGTCAGCCTACTAATTAGGTAAAAGTAAGGTTAGGTTAAGGTTAGTCAGGTTAAGGTCAAGGTTAAATTAGGTTGGGTTAATACTGGCAGGGAAGACCATTAAATTTGTGATACTTGCGGGCTGGCCGTCATAGTGAGGAGGCATGGGGAAGGAAGAGAAGGATGTGGAAGGAAGGGAAGGATGAGTAGGGAAGGGAATGATGAGGAAGGATGAGGAGCACGAGGAAGGGATGAGTCTGCAGAAGGAAGGGAGGGTGGGAAAAGGAGCATGATAAAGAGGGAAGGAAGGGAAGAAGAACATGAAGAGAGTGAGGGAAGGAAGAGGAGCATGTGGAAGGATTGGAACTGATGATGACCCTTTCCCACACGTTCCTTTCCTCCCTCTGTTGTGGGTGTAATTTTAGGCTTGTTTTTGATGTTCTTGTAATATTCTTCAGGTTTATACACAGGGTCTCCTGAGGACGGCAGCCTCAAGCCTCTCGTGCCTGCGTACAGCGAGGTGTTGGACCTTCTCAACCACCTCCCCGATGCTGTCAAGTCTTCAACACCGAGCCGCAAGTCAAGGAATTTCACCGACACTGAGAATTTAGCAGATGGATCCACACCGCCTAGAACAAATAGTGGGGATAACATTACATGACAGTAAGACCAGTTAATGCACACATGAAAAACACCATGAGTGTACAAAGTTGTTTACAGTAAAGTACAGTAGTGTTGAGTGAATGATTGTGAGGTGAAGTGAACGACCACTACCTCTCATATCCACAACACTCAACTCACTTCTCACAATATTTATACCTTGAAATGACAGTTGATCAAAATCTCTGGTGATATTGTCCTATTATTTGATTAGATAAAACAAGAAACATGACAAGGCAGGTAGACAAGGGCAGGTTTGGGGTACGAGGAACTCATCTCTGGCCTCAACTCTCAGATGCTGGTCTTCATGACGTCTGTGTAATATGATAACTACAGTATATATTTAAAGCTCTATAATAAATATTTTGTCAAGTTTATAAGTGATAGGTTTAGAGTAGCCACTGAATTGATAGTTATATGACACTTAACACATGTTTATACGTTTATATGACATTAGAAATAAATCCTTCAAGATCACCAGAACAGAGTATCATTTGCCCTGTGAGAGTGAAAATTTAAACTGGGTCTATTTAGGGGCAGAGAAGTGGTTAAATGTATCCAGTGTACTGTATTGGGTGTTGGGCGCACAGGAAACAGTATATCGGAGATAAGCAGCTGGCGAGGGAGCCATGCTTTTTGGACTTGGGTTCGGCTTCGAAACTTTCTAAAGGCTTGGGCTTCAGCTTTGAAGCCAGAGACATAACCGGCTTCGACTTTGAAGCCACAACCCTGGCTTTGGATATTCATCTTTACAGTCTTACTGACCATATTATATCATTTTATTTCGACCACATTGAATAAATAAAATAAAATTAGTGGCGAATAAAAGCGGCGCAATTTTGACCTCGACAAGTGACACGGGTTGTCGTAGTGGCGTCGAAATGAGAACATATTGTCACAATTCCATCAGGGGCAGTGCCAGGGGCTGTGGCGCCCAGAGGGGACCTTCCTTTAGCGGTGGAAACCACAGGGGTCCTGCCATGGACGGTGGCGCTCCCAGGTCACTTCCAGGAGCGGAGGCTCCCACAAGTGCCCTCTTAGGGGAGGTTGCTCCCCCAGGGGCCTCCCACGCTCGATAGTGCCGTCAGGGGCCCTGTCAGGAGAGCGGTGCACCCGTGGGCCTTCCCAGTCTCGGCAGTGACCCCAGGGGCATTCCTTAGGGTGGCAGTACCCCCAGGGAACCTCTCAGGGGCCGCAATGCCCTTATGGATCCTCCCAGGGGCGTTGGTGCCCCCAAAGGCCCATTCAAGGGCGGTGGTGACCCTAAGGACCCTTCCAGGTGTAGAGGCAACCCCAGGGGCTGTCCCAGGGGCAGCGGTTCCTCTAAGGTCCTCCCAAGGGCGACGGTGACCCCAGAGGCCCTTTTAGGGGCAGCGGCTCCCACAGGGACCCTCCCAGGGGCAGCGAAGATCCTAGGGGCCCTACCAGGTGCTGTGGCGCCCCATGGGTCCCTTCCACATGCAGAGGCTACCTTACAGAAGCTACGGCGCCACTAGGGGTCCCTCCATAGTGTGACATTTCACCCTTGGGTCTTCCTATGGAATGGCGGCGCCCCTAGGGGCCCTCTCTGGCATAGCGGAGATGACAGGGGACTTGCCAGGTGCTGTGGTGCCTTCTAGGGCCTTTTTAGGGACGGTGGTGCCCCCAGGGGATATTCCAGGGGCGGATGTGCCGCCAGGGGTCCTCCCAGGAGCGGCGGCGCTGCCAGGGGCCCTCCCAGGTGCACCAGCGCTCTCAGGGAATCTCCCAAGGGCGGCGGCGTCCCCAGGGACCCTACCATATGCAGAAAATACCTCACAGGAGATGCGGCATCCCTCGGGGCTTCATTGTGGTGTTGTATATATTGCATGCATCCAGAAATCCCTTACTTAACTGTGATTGGTGGACGAAAATGTAAATCCACCAAATTTCAGCCAATAGGAGAACAGAGCAATCAGTCATCACAACACCCCAACTTATGTTTTCCTGTTGGATATTATTCTACTTTTCATTGTTCAGGATGCGATAATACTGGAAATGCGATGGACGGTGTATTTATTTAAAGTCATATCTCTTCCAAACTTCTAAACAGTGCAAAACCAACTCCCTTAAGGGACCTCCCAGAAGCGACCCCGCCCAGTAGCCCTCCTTAGGGGTGGCGGCGACGAATCCAGTGGGCCCGTCAGGGGCTGTGGAGCCCAGAGGGGCCCCTCCTTTGGCATCGGCAACCACAGGAGTCCTGCCAGGGCCTCTTTATGGGACGCCACTGCTACCAGGGACCCTGCCAAGGTCTGTGGCTCACAATAGGTCCTCCTAGGGGAGGTGGCACCCCCAGGTGCACTGGATCCAGCAGGGGCGCTCTTAGGGACAACGGCAACCCTAGGGGACTTTTCAAGGAAGGAGGCGTCCTCAGAGGCTCCTCCAGGAACAGCTGAGCTTCCATGGGCCTCTCAGGGACAGCAACGCTCCTCCGGACCCTCACAGGGACAGCAATGCTCCTAGGAACCCTCACAGACACTGCGGCGCCCCCATGGGCCCTGCTAGGGGCGCTGGCGACCCGAGGGGCCCTCACAGGGACAGCGGTGACCCCAGGGGTTTTTCCAGGGACGGGGGCGCCTCCAGGTACGTTTCTAGGGACCGTGGTGCTCCCAGAGGCCCTGCCAGCGGCGTGGCGCCTTCAGGGGCCCTTCCAGAGGCGGTGGCTCCCCCCAGGCCTCTTTATGGGGCGCCACTGCTCCCAGGGACCCTGCCAATGCCTGTGGCTCACGATAGGTCCTCCTAGGGGAGGCGGCGCCCCAAAACAATGGATAGTGGTGTCGTACATATTGCATTCTTCCAGTAATCTCTTACTTAACTGTGATTGGTGGAATAAGAGGTAACGTCATCAAATTACAGCCAATATGAAAACAGAGCAATCAATTAGCACAACACCCCAACTTATGTTTTGCTGTTGGATATTTATTCTCCTTTTTATTGTTCAGGATGCGATAATACTGAAAATGCGATGAGAAGTGTATTTATTTATTTAACGTCATATCTTCCAGAATTTAAAAAATAGTGAAACGAGAATAAATATCCAACAGCAAAGCATAAGTTGGGGTGTTGTGCTGACTGATTGCTCTGTTCTCCTATTGGCTGTAATTTGATGACGTTACATCTTGCTCCACCAATCACAGTTAAGTAAGGGTTTACTGGACGAATGCAAAATGTACTACAAAACTATGAAGTTTTTGGGGCGATGCCGCTTGTGGAAGGGCCCCTGGGGGCGCCATCGCCCCTGGCAGAGACCCTGCCGCCCCTGGAAAGGCACCCACTGCCACTAGCAGAGAACATAGCAGCGCCGCCGGCCCAAGGAGGGCCCATAGGGGGGCCGCAGCCAATGGCAGGGTAATTGTGGGCAGTGGCGCCCCAAAGAGGTTCCCTGGGGGAGACACCACCTCTGAAGGGCCCCTGAAGTTGCCACCGCTGTGGTAGAGCCCCTGGAGACGTCACCGTCCCTGGGAACACCCCTGAATGAATTCCGTCCCTGTAAGGGACCCTGGAATCGACGTTATCCCTGTGAGGGTCACTTGGCCATGCCAGGCACGGAGGTACCCCCAGGGCCCTCTCAGGGTCGGCAGTGCCCCCAGGGGACCTGTCAGGGGCGCTGGATCCACCAGGGGCGCTCTTAGGGACAACGACAATCCTAGGGGCTTTTTCAGGGAAGGCGGCGTTTTCAGGGGTTCCTCCAGAAACAGCCGAGTTTCCATGGGCCTCTCAGGGACGGGAACATTCCTAGGGACCCTCACAGACACGGCGGCGCCCCCATGGGCCCTGCTAGGGGCGCTGGCGACCCGAGGGGCCTTCACAGGGACAGCGGTGACCCCAGGGGTTTTTTCAGGGACGGGGACGCCTCCAGGTACGTTTCTACGGACCGTGGTGCTCCCAGAGGCCCTCCCAGAGGCCCTGCTAGCAGCATGGCGACCCTGCCACCCTTGCCTGCTCTTTAATGGAGGACTGAGCGAGGGCTTCCTCCACTGAACCACTTCCAGATCCCATGCAGGAAGCATTGAAGCGTCTGAACCTGCTGTTCATCCTGCTCTTACCTCTCCTGCTCCCACCGATCATCCCATCACACAGTTCGAGCTGGACATCGCTGTGGAAAAGACGCCTCTCCTGGAGATTATGATAACCGACTCTATCCTCAACGCTTGTACTAATATTCCTGGTGGCCCTCTGCTCACCCTCTACATAGAGCCCTACCAAAACAATGCCGTTTCTATTCTACGAGATCCCCCAGCCAATTTTTTCAAAGCCTCCCTGACTCTGGCTCTCCGAGGACGACATTCACCTAGAAGGCAGTGGAGATGGTCGATTAGCCGAGCTCTTCAAGAATACGTCCTCTTGCCTGATATTGTTGTCACCCCTACTGTTGGTTCCTCTCCTTCACCCTGGGTGGATTTTAAGCCTGAAGTGATTTCTTTCAGTGCACGGCTTCCCGATATCTCACATAATCCCAGCTCAACTCCGCGCTTATCACCTTTCCAGGATCGCCCTCAGGTCCCTAGGTAGGGTTGTCCTCTACACCGATGGCTATGTTGACCGCTGTATAGCTAGGGCCGGGGCTAGTGTCTACATCTCCCGTCCTGGTTTCCCAGAACTTGTTAAATTCTCTCTCAGAGTTTCAGACAGTGTATCCTTCACTAAAGCTGAGTTGATAGCCCTCCTTGCTGTCCTCGTCGCTAAGGAAGAAGCCGGGGGACCCATTCCCATATTTGTCTGGTGTGAGCTTAGGTCTGCAATCGATGGGATTGCATCTGGATCAGGGGAGATCATGACCTCATCCTCTGAATAAGAGGGCTAACGATATCACTTAAGGATGCAGGCCGTCCATTGACATTCCTGTGGATACCAAGTCATGTCGGTATCTCAGGGAATAAGGCAGCA